TATTGCCACTAAGTCTCCATTCTGAATATCAAGATTTATATTTTTTAAAACAGGAGTTTATAAATTCCAATAAGCGCTGAAATCTTTCATTGTTATTTTACCTTTTGGTAATGATTTATCTAAGATTAATGGTTCTAGTTTAGTTTTAAAAGATTTAAAATTTATTTATTACATTTATTTAAACATATTATAAGTTTGATTGTTTAGAAAAATAAGTTACATTCAGTTGATAAATCAGGTATTTTTGAAATAGATTACTCTTGAATGGTTAGCACAGCCAATATTCTTTCAATGATTACTTTGAACTCTAATAAGCCAGTAATTCCAGTGCTAATATAAGTTACTAGTTCATATTTAATAAATGAGAATAAATTCATAACAGAAATCATTTTTGGAACTGTTAAAACTGAAGGATCTCCAAAATAATATGTACTCAAAAAAGATATCAAGCAGGCAAGCAAGTCAACAATAGAAGTAAAAGATTATTAGAATGAGTATATGATTTAAATAATTAATATTTTACTTATTTCATTTTCTCTTATTATTTGCACAAATTTTATAAATGCTTCCTCCCATGCATACAATTTAATCAACCTAATCCCTTCTATTAATTCATTAGTAAGTTTTATTCTTTAGTCTACTAATTATGTTTTTAGAAAGAAGAATCTTTAGTTCAACTTTGCAAAAATGCTTTAAATAATTGGATAACAAAGAATAAAACAAAAGCCAAGTAATGAATAAGAGCCTAATCTATTTTATTAAAAAAATTACAAAAAATTGTATTAAATTGAAAAGTGAAAATAAAATATTTATTGGATTTTCTCTTAAATTTATGTTTTTTGCATTTCTTAATTCGAGATAAGCAATAAAAATATCAATTTTATGCTTAAAAAGAGGATTATGAGGGGAGTTGGTGAGAATTAATGAGGGACTACGGTATTCTTATCAATTTATTTAATAAATAATTAATTTTAAATAGATTTTTTACCTTTAGTACAAAAAAATAACTACCACAGTAAGATCAATAAAAACAGTGATCATTTTTATCATACACAATCCTTTATTATCTAAAGTATTTAGATCATTTGAAATTAGATTAACTAATTTGCCTACATTAGCTTATTTCAGAGAAAAAGCTGAAAGAGTTGTTATTTTTTGATACAATATTTTCATTAAAGCGGCCTTGAAAACATGGAAGAAATTGTAAAAGAATCTTTATATATTGTGTTATGAAATAAGCGCAGAGAACTATATTATGGTTAATAGGATGGCTAGTGAGAATTTCAATGATTAGCTTTTATTTTCTTGAATAGCCTCTAAAAATAAAATTAAACACTATGAAAAGAGAATCTTAAAAGCATTAAAAAAGGCGTTTATTATAAGCAAAAATGTAATATCATACTTAAAAGTAAAAATTATACTCGAAATTATTTTAAATTTTGAGATATTTTTTTCGTTAGCTTTTGGTTTGTTAATTAACTACAAAAACTTAACTTGTAAAGTTTAATATTTAAGCTCAAGTTTTTTCTCTTATGAGAAAATGGGAATGTGCTTTATCTCTAAAATTCTATCTAATTTAATTGATTTATAGCATCTCAAAAGTATCTTCAAATAATCTAACATAATAATCTTTTTTAAAAAGCACTGGCTTTCATTTGTTAAATTTTCAATTATTTCATTTTAATTTTTTTAAGAAATAAAATTTCCTTCTTAAATATTATCAAAAACTTCAGTTGCTTAGCATACATTGGTTTCAAAAGTATTAAAGGTGGTTTAACTTGCTTAATTTTTAATGTTTTAAAAACTAATTATTTCTTCTGATAAAATATCTTTTCTAAGCTATTTATCTTAAGGAGGGTCGTTAATTTGACATTTTCTATAAATATTAGTACTTTAATGAAGATTTTAACTTGTTTTTTAATTGCTAGGATTCATTTGAATTTGTTTGTTTTTCTTATTAAAAAAAAAATTAAAAAATTTAAGGCAAATCTTTTTAGTTTTTTAAACTTACTTTATGGTAAAAATAATATTTTGCAAAAATAGAACTTATTTGCTTACATATTTTAATATAAAAGGCTTTTTATTCGAAATACTCAGTAAAATATTATTCCTCAAATTCTTTAACTATTTTTATGATAAGATTAAACAAATTTCTTGGTAAATATGCTATTAAAACATTTTATAGAAATAAAAACTCAATTCTTTTATGATGATTGGCTAAAATTATTAACGCATTTACATTTACTAGTATTTGTGGTATTATCAAAAGTGTATTAATTTTAATTTAATTTACTTTTATGAAATAGTAATTTATATTTGAAAGAAGAAAATTAAATTTTATGTTAATTACTACTAAATAGCTTGTTATCTATACTCACTCTATAATTATTACTACAACATTAAAGTAAAAACTTAACTTCCACTATAATATATTACTGGGATGCTAAATTCTTTATTTATATTTTCTTTATTTTAAACCTCTTATTTATAATATATTTTGTGTTTTTTACCCATTGTAATAATTAATAACAATTAATTTGAATTTTATCCTTTAACTCATAAGTAGTTTTTCCTTAAATAAAAAAATATAAAATAACATAACCACACTAGAAATTAATTTCTTATATTATAAGTTAGCAGCTTGATTAAGCAAAAAATATAACTTTTTATAATTGAATAAATAAATTGAAATCAAAGCAAATAAATATTTTTGAGTATCATCACCAAATTCATATTAATGGTCATTTTAAGGAAATTTATTATTATTTCATTTTTAAAGTATCAATCTTATGGATAATTATTTTTTTGATTTCAACTCTAAAAAAGATTCAATCATAATTCAAAATTTTGTAAAGTTTAATTTCTACGATTTTCAAAATTAATATTTTCCTATATACATTGCAGTAATTTAAGAAATTAAATTTATCTTTCAGTTTGACCAATATTTACATATTTTGAAAAAAAAAACAAGATTTTCAATAAAAGAATTTTTTTTTATTAGGCTTTAATTAAATAGAAAACAAGCTAAGTAAATAAATCATCACTGTTTTTATTACTAATTTCTTAGTATATTTAATTCCAGTATTATCTCTAAATAAATTTTCATTTATTTTATTAAAGTAAAAAAAAGTAACCCTTTTATAATTCTGAATAGAAATTACTTTTAAAAATTATCAGTGTAAGCAAGTCCGCGCTTATATATATTAGGATGGATGGAACTTATTAAATTGAGAAAAAACATAAAATAATACAAATAACTTATAATTATATTCGATAATATTGAAATTTATTCTATCAATATCTTGCCCATTTAAGAATAAAATATTTTATATAAAAATAAAATAATAAAAATCAGAAAACAAATAAAAATATGGGCTTAAGTAAAGCTATTTTAATATCAAGAATTAATTTGCGAATTAGAGGTAACTCATTTAAGTATATAAAATTCAAAAATTCAGGAGAAAAAATTTACATTTTATTGCTTAATATATTAATATGAAAAACGAAAAAATGACAGACAGACAATCAATCAATTAATTTTAGTTACAAAGAAAAAAAAAATGATTAATTTTTCTATAAAAATCAATATTATTTTGTAATGAATATAGTCAATTTTTTTGGCTCATAATACTTTATAGTTGAACTTAATTAAATTTCAGATTTCTTATAATCTTAGTAAACTCGATAGAATTTTAGTATTTGTATTTTCCTCTCAATATTCAATTTTATCTTGATTAATATACTTCCAAAAATAATAGTATTGAAAAAATATTTATATTCCTTGAAAGAGTAGGTAAATAGCGCAATAGCAATTTTCAAACATCATTCAAAAATTATTTAAGTTAAAGTAAAATTTAATATTAAGATTCTTAAAATCTTTATTAGATAAAATATTTTAATTTTTTTTAGAAATAATATGAATAAAGATACAAATATTGATCAATTTATGTCTTTCATACTTAAACCTTAAATTAAAGGTATTAGTTTAAGTAAATAAATATTTTTAAAGTAATTATGAAAAAATTAAATAAAAAATTTCGTTTTATAAAAGTAAATTCAAATTTAAATTACACTTATTTGTTTTAAAGATTCCTTTTAATTTAATTAAGTTTTTAAAATGTTTATATTTAGAAAATGATATTATTTACAATTAATTCAAAACTGACAATTAAAAAAATAAAAGATATAAAATAATTTATTTACTGAACATATTTTATTAGCAACCAATTTTAAAAAATCATAAATTATCATTTAATTTATATTTAGAAATAAAATTTATAATACATATTGTGTCAAATTTTTCAGTATTTCTTAATATGAAAACAAGTTTCAAAAATTTTATCCAATTAAAAAAAATGTGCTAAAATTTTATTTTATATTTGATAAACTTTAACTAAATATATTTTTATGGTATAACAACAATCTTTTACCAAATTATTGGAGTCGATTATGATTTTTTCTTAAAATTAGCTTATATTCATAGGTAAATTTAAACTTATTAAAGTTATAAAATATATTACTTTTGCCTCCTATTTTTAATTTAATGAAAATTGATTTATCTTTAATTTGTAAAAATAATTAAATTCTAATACTGGTTTAATAAAAGTTTTTTGTTTCAATTTTTTTTAATAAATATGGTTTATATGCTAAAGTAAAATTGATGTAATAGATTTATTTTGCTTGCTTGAAAAATTAATTCTTTAGCTAAGAAAGATGATTTTTTAATGAAATTATATTAATTGAAATTTCAAATATTTAATAAATTTAAAAGCAATTAATAACTATTTTTTAACTTTTAAATTAAGCATAGCTTTCATATGAAATATTTAAGAATTTTTTTTTAATTCTTAAAAATCAAATATTTTAAAAAAATAGGATTTCACAATTTTATTTTATTTTGTTTTTTTATATTTATTTTATATAAATTTCCTTAATTTTATCATTATAATTAAAAGATGGAAAAATAAAATAGGCCAACGAAATAAATTTTTAATATTAAATCAGCATGTTATTTGTCTCAATTCAAATCCAACAGCTCCAGTTGAGGGAATTTAGCTAATGATTTAAGTCTCAAGATAGCCAAGACAATTACTTGTAACTGGTTATAGTAAATAATTCAATGTAAAAATAAAAGTCATATTTTGTTGGCATTAGTTTAGTATAAGAATTCCTACATTTACACCAATATCTGGGTCTATAATTTTTAAACAGTTTTGTTAAACAAGCAAGAACTCAGTTTCTTCTCTATCTTGACTTTTAATAGAGTAAATAGTTGCAAAACTTTACGGAGATAGGATAGCAACAAGAAAAACAGTTGATCTCATTTTATTATTTCTTGAAAGCTGATTAAAATTTGTCTGATATGATAAATCTTTATTAATAGTTCCATTATTATCATCAATTTATAAGCTTAAAATAATTTGATAGTTTTTCTAATAATTAAAATTCGATAATTTTACAATTAGTTATTATGAAATTACCATCTTTCATCTTGTATTTATTTTCTGTTACTTTCTGATCAAACTAAAAAAATTAACAAATTTTTGATCATAGCTATCTTGTCCATAATTTAATAATATACAGGTAACCAAAAAGAGATTATTAATAGTAAAAAAATAATTTATTAGCTTAAAATAATTTGACACTTTTACTAATTATACAAATTAGATCATTTTTCAATTAGAAAATTTTGGATTTACCAAATTAATTTTTAACTAAAAAAAATTAACAAATTTTTGATCAGAGCTAATTTATTTATCTCATCCTTTATTTAAAGATATATAGCAACCAAAAAAATATTTGCTTATTAATAAAGTTCTATTATTAATTGTATATAAATAATTTATTAGCTTAAAATAATTTGGCACTTTTACTAACTATACAAAAAATTTCATTTTTTAAATAGTAATTTTTAGTTTACAAAATTAATCTTTATATTCTAATATTTTTATATTACTCCCTTATCAAACTAAAAAAAATTAACAAATTTTTGATCAGAGCTAATTTATTTATCTCATCCTTTATTTAAAGATATACAGCAACCAAAAAAAGATTTGCTTATTAATATAGTGTTACTATTGATGATATATTTACAATTTATTAGCTTAAAATAATTATACTTTTACTAATTATTCAAAATAGATTAATTTTCAATTAGCTATTATGAATTTACCAAATTAATCTTTTTATTCTAATATCCCTCATTTATTCACTGAGAAAACTAAAAAAATTTCAATAAATTTTAGATCAGAACTAAATTTATAAATTTAAACTTATAAAAATTATAAAATAAATTATTTTTCCCCCTCTTTTTAACTTAAAGAAAATTGCTTAGCCCTTAGTTTTTAAAAATAATTAAATTCTAATGCTGATTTAATAAAAGTTTTTTGTTTGATTTTTTATTAAGTAAAAAAGATTTGGAAGTAAAATTAAAATTGATGCAGGTGATTTATTTAGCTTGCTTGAAAAATTAGTTTTCAAGCTACAAAAGCTGATTTTTGAATATCTTAAATGAAATCTCAAATATATAATTAAGTATAAAAACAATTAGTTTCTGTTTTTGAACTATTAAGTTCAGAATAGCTTTGATATGTAAAATTTAAGAATTTATTTTTACTTTTAAAAAATCAAATATTTTTATTCTTAATATATAAAAAACAAACATAGGATTTCACAATTTTATTTTTTATTATTTTTGTATTTATTTTATATAAATATCCTTAATTTTATAATTGTAATTATAAGATGGCAACAATAAAATAGGCTAACCAAATAAGTTTTTAATATTTAATCAGCATGCAGTTTGTCTCCATTCAAATCCAACAACTCCAGTTGAGGGAATTTAGCTAATAGCTTAAGTTTCAAGATAGCCAAGACAATTAGTTTTAATTATTGTTCCTGTCTCCAAAGTTATATTAAAAGTCATATTTTGTTGGCATCTGTTAAGTACAAGAGTTCCTACATCTATACCAATATCTGGATCTATAGGTTTTAAACAGAGTTATAAATCCGAGTACTCAGTTTCTTATCTATCTAGACTTTTAATAGAGTAAATAGTTGCAAAACTTAATAGAGATAAGATAGCAACAAGTAAAACAGTTGATTTCATTTTATTTTTTCTTAAAAGCTGATTAAAGTTTGTTTGATTTGATAAATCTTTATTAATAAAGTTCTATTATTAATCGTATATAAATAATTTATTAGCTTAAATTAATTTGATATTTCATCTAATTATTCAAAATAAATCATTTTCTATGTTTTTTTCTATCATTTTTCATTAAACAAATAAAAATTTTAACTATCAATTTTTTGATCAGCCCTAATCTAAAAATATCTGTCCCGTTGTATATTTAATAATTTATTAAAAAGAATAAATAAAAAAGCCAAAAATGAAATTTGTATTTATTTAGCTGTCTTATTAGATGTCGCTTCTTGCTAAGTTTATTTTATGAATGTTGGGATAACGAATATTCTACATATAAGCTTGAGAAACTACTGATCATTTAACAAAAACAACAACTCCGGTTATACTCCTTCTAGTCTGGAAATATTTTTAATAGATTAAGAAATATTCAAGTAAGCTATATATTGTATTTTATTTTCTATATATTTTTTCTTATGACTTACAAATTACTTTTCCTCTCATTCATTTTAAGTAAAAATGATACTTAAATGAGTCCCTAACATTATTCAACTCTCTAATAAGATAATAATAGCTTTAATATCTCAAACTGAACCATTACTGCTTCTATTAAATAAACTAATCTCTCCTCTAATCAAACTTTATTTTATTGTAAATTCTACAGCAATACTTTCAAAATGAATGGATCTTCCGCTTTGATGCTCCCAGATAAAAAAATTCCTTTAGTTTAGAATCTTTAATTAAGCTAAATTAGATTTGACGAATATTAATTAATAATTAAATCAATATATACTGTATTCCTATCAGAAACTTTTTGTAAAATTCTGTATTTAACAACAGAAATTTATTTTAACTATTTAATTTTTGAAAGTCAACTTATTTGATTTATACTTCTTTTAATATCATTGGTTTGTATTCAAATTTAAAAGCCTTTAATTTAAATTTTTTTAAAGTTGAAAATATCTTAATTAATTAAATTAATCTTTTATATTTTTTATGATAAACTATTATAAAATAAATATAAATAGTATTAATTATTTTATTCTAAAATAAATCAATCTTTTATATTTTTTATGATAAACTATTATAAAATAAATATTTATAGTATTAATTAATTATTTTTAAATCTCAAATTTTAATCAATATGGGGGTCAAATATTTATTTGTTTAAGAATCAAAAAATGAACAGAACCTCCAAATTTTCTTCCCATTCATTTTTAACTTATTTTATTTTATAAAATACCTACCACGCCTACTGATTATGAATACTAATTATCAACAAATAATCATTAAAAGTAATATATCATATTAGATAGATTTAAGATCTTATCTAATTATATCTAAATCCCACTCCTAATAGAAACTATTATTTTTGATAAAACCAATCTTATTTTTTATTATTGAGAATTCTCTTCAGATTTATTTTATTTTAGAATTACCTTCAGTCACATCTTTGAAATTTATTTTTGTTTAAATTTAAAAACATAAATCTATATATAAACATTATCTATAAAAGTAAATATAAACTATTTGAATATTTATTTTATTTTTATGTATTTTAATTTAAGTATCTATTTTACTTAATATGAATTTAATATTTTTAATTATTTATCTTTTTTTCTATTAAAAAGTTCAATATCTTCATAACTTTTTCAAAATAAAAAAAATATTCTAAATTACTCAAATTACTAATAGATTTTCAAAAATATTATTATTATTATTATTTATATGAATTAAATAAATAATTTATTTCAAAGATCTAAATAGACATACGCAAAAATATATGTGTTCATGCGTATTATTTTTAATTCATATTAATTTTCTCAATGTTATAATTATTGATTTTGATTGGAATTAATTTAATCAAATCAAATCTATTCATATCAGAAAAATTTTTAGTTTTAATAGAAATACATTAATTCTAATAAAAACACATTTTTTTCTGGTCAGGGATGTATTAAAAAGGTTATTGAATTTTTGTTTATAAATTATTTATAGCATATTATTATTATTAAAATTTGAGATTTAACATTCAATTTATCATAAATCTAACTAAACATTTTAAAAAATTTAAGCTAAAAAAATAATTCTTATTTTCTATTTTACTTTTAGGTTTGAGAGAAAATAATAAAATTAGCTTCTCAAACATATAAAGAAAAAATTTAATAAATAATCAAATTTATTTTGTAAACAGATTGATACTTTTACCAATTATTCAAAATAGATCATTTTTTCAATTAATTATGATATATTTGCCAAATTAATCTTTCTATTCCAATATTTTTACTTTCATATTAGATAGATCTTTTAATAAAACTAAGTAAAAATAAATCTTAAGTAATTTTCTGATCAGTCCCTAAATTAATTAAATAGTCTTAAAGGTTTATCTGTATTTTGCCTATTTAACTATTTCTTTATTAATTGCCTAATCAATTAATCTATCTATCTATCTAACTTCTTATACTGCATTCAGAACAAACAAAATTTTATAAATTAACATTAATTAAGAAAATACAAAAAAGTACAAAAAAATAATATATCAAAAATAAATGAAGGTTTTATTCGCTTTAGCTGTCTTATTAGCTGTCGCTTCTTGTTAAGTTTACCCCATGAATGTCGGTAACGAATGCTCTACTGCTGCTTGCTCTAGAAGCTACTGGTATTTCAATAACACCAATTACAATTATACTTGCCCTAAGGCTGGAAACAGTATGGCTAGATTCAGAAGTGTTCAAGGAAACTACGTCTTAGATTTTGTTGCCTACAATGCCTTAGCTTCTGATGCAGCAGTTACTATTCCCCTCATTTACAATCCTAATGCTAGTTAAAATGGTCTCTAATATTACTCTGCTCTCTAATAAGGTCACAATTTTGCTATCTTGAACTGCACCCTTGCTGCTGCTAGATAATACACTAATCTCTGCTCTAAGCACGCTTTAGTTGGTGGTAAGATTTACAACAACACTTTCCAAAATGGATGCGCCTTCGGTTTGGATGCTCCCAGATACGCTTTCTTACAATAAGAAATGCCCTTGGAATTCGAATCTTCAATTTGATTTGTTTTGATTTGACGAATACTAACTAATATATAAATAATAATATTAAAAATATCTCTACTAGTAAATAAATAAATGAATATATATTAATATGATTATTTGTTTGCTATTATTGTACTTTAGAAATATAAATTTATTATTCCATCTAATTAAATCATTTAATTTTTCTTTTGTAAAATTAAAATAAATCCTTATTTTCACATAGAGATTTCAGCTATTTAATAATTGTAAACAAAATCATGTGGTATTTTGAATTATATTAATATTACATTATTAATAAAAGATTATGTCTAATTTTAACCAATTAATTAATTTATTTAATAGTTTGTTTTCTTATTTTGAGAATTTTTCTATTTATTATTTAAGAAATACTATGCATGATAAAACTTAATTGAATTTTATCAAAAATTTTTGAAAAGAATGTAATAAAAATATAGAGAAAAGGTATTTAAAATATTAATTTTGTTTAATTTAAGCACAAAATAATATTGAAACACTAATTTTATACAATTTATTTCTTATCTTTTATTTGTATTTTATCTTTATCTGGAATAAAAAAAATTTTTTTAAAGATGGTTTTTTAAGATAAACAAAAAAATAAGAAATAAAAGCTGGAAATTTATCTATTAATTTATTAATAAAAAAATATATCTTACTATTATATTTGCTAAAAATTAGTTATTCAGTTAATAAATTTGATGTTTTTAATCAAAATATCTCAGATAAAAGATAAAATATTTAATTAATTTTTAAATTAATTAGTTACTTCTAATTTAAACAAAGCACTCAAACGTAAAATTTATGAATTTATTTTTAATTGTTAAAAATTAAATATTAGAATCTATTCATAAAAATAGGGAGGTAGTTAGTTATGTTACAGGTCAGCAACTATTTGATTTGATATAAAATTTATAAAATTATTTTTTAATTTAATTTTTTATATTTTAATTATGCATTTTCTGATAAAACTTTTTGTTTATGTAAAACTCAAAAAAATTGAATCTGTTTAAATTTTTTAAATTATTATTATCAACAAACAAAATTTTGATACTATCTTGGTTATAAATAAAATAAATTGTATATTTCTGAATTAAATTGCATAAGCTCACATACATACACTATTTAAATTTCTTTAAACAAAATAAAAAATTAACTTTTAGTTACTAGCTTGAAAAAATTTATTTATTTTAAAAGTAGATTGATAGAAACATGTACAATTATGATAAAACACACACACCTATATTTTTGTTGTGTATTAAATAATATCATTTAATCAAAAATTAAATATAAATTGCTTATATTTATCAAATAAAATGTCCTTATCAACTAATATTTTATCAAAATTTTATAGAATATATAATCTTATTATATTATAATAATCAAAATTTAAAAGTTAACACTGCCAATATGATTGAATTATTAAGTTATTAGCTAAATAACCTAATAATAGCAATTATATATATTTGTTTTATATTTTTTAATTGAAATGAATACAAATTAAAATAACAAATTAATCATAATTTAATAAAATAAAATAAAATTATTACCAGGTTTAAATTCTAATTTATTTATAAATGGATTTATTAGATAATATAATTTACAAATTATATATTAATTGTATTCATACAAATAATATGTTTTAATTTTTAAATTATATGTAAACTTTTATCTATCGAATCAATCAGTAGTTAGCTTCAAATTCAAAGTCTCCTGCTTATTGTAAGAATGATCTGGCAGAGGGACTCAAACCAAAAGCACAAGAAGATTCAAAAACGTTCTTAATAACTTTAATACCAACTAAAGGATATTTGTTGCAAAGGCTAGAGTAAGCTGTGGCACCAGCAATAGTGCAATTCATGATAGCGAACTATTCGTTAGATTTCAAGTTTGAGAAATACTAAACACCATTTTAAGAGGGTTTAGGAACATAAGTGAGAGGAATAGAAACTTTAACATCAGTAGACATGAAGTTGTAAGCTGTGAAATTAAAAAAGTATTAACCTCTTTATAATGTGAAAGCAGCAGTAGATTTTCCAGATAAAGGGCAAGTGTAGCTTTAGTCAACATTTCCTACAGTCCAATAACTTCTAGGGCATTTAGCAGTAGAGCATTCACTTCCAACATTGAAAGGATAGACTTGGCAAGAGGCAACAGCTAATAAAAGAGCAATAGCAATCAAAGTTTTCATTTCTTTTTAATTTTTTTTTTTTGAGTTTTTTTATGAACTCTAGACATCACATATATGTAAAAATATAATTTTTATTTGTAAATATCTATAAAAAATAATTAATAAAATATTTATCTATCATTACTTAAATAGTTACATATTCTAGTTAAAACCATATAATTACAAAAATTTTAAATATTACATATGGTTATCCAAAAATATTAAATATTACATTATTATTATTAGATAGACTTCAAAAAAAAAGTAATTTTTGTTTGATTTCTTCACAGCTTTTAATTGTTGTTGATCTTTTAAAGTGGCTTATCTCTAATAAGATTTTATTGCGTTCTTTTATTTAACTTCAAAATCTTTTATACGCAGCTATGAGTCTTATAATTTAATTTAATTAATTAGTTATTTCATTTAATTTAATTAATTAGTATTTCGTTTAATTTAAAATATTAGTTATTTCATTTAATTTAAAATATTAGTTATTTCATTTAATTTAAAATATTAGTTATTTCATTTAATTTAATTAATTAGTATTTCGTTTAATTTAATTAATTAGTATTTCGTTTAATTTAAAATATTAGTTATTTCATTTAATTTAATTAATTAGTATTTCATTTAATTTAAAATATTAGTTATTTCATTTAATTTAATTAATTAGTTATTTCACTTAATTTAATTAATTAGTTATTTTATTTAATATCTGTTAGTTTTTAAAAAAATCTATTTTCACTTTCAGTACATGTAAAATTTAGTTTTAAAGAAGCTTTTTTTATAAGAATATAAATTAATTTATATCAGGCACATTCAAATAAAACAATAAAACTTACATCATTTTGTCAAATTTCTAGACATTATTAGATTTAATCAATTTTATTATTTTTTATGAATTTGATATTTTTGTGATACTTTAATTTATATGCAAAGAATCAATTGAAGCGTAAATTGATAATTAGAAAAAAGAAATTTAAATAAATTAAATAAAACAATATAGAAAAAAATTTATTTATTTCAAAATGCTAAAAGATAATACTAAATTCAACAAATAAAAACATAGATACATTCATACTCTAGAAAGTTTTATTTTATTTATTATATTTTTACTCAAATTAATTTATTTTTTTCTAGATGAAAAAAAATTTATAAATTTAAACTTATAAAATTTATAAAATAAATTATTTTTCCCCCTGTTTTTAACTTAAAGAAAATTGCTTAGCCCTTAGTTTTTAAAAATAATTAAATTCTAATGCTGATTTAATTAAAGTTTTTTGTTTGATTTTTTATTAAGTAAAAAAGATTTGGAAGTAAAATTAAAATTGATGCAGGTGATTTATTTAGCTTGCTTGAAAAATTAGTTTTCAAGCTACAAAAGCTGATTTTTGAATATCTTAAATAAAATCTCAAATATATAATTAAGTATAAAAACAATTAGTTTCTGTTTTTGAACTATTTATTAAGTTCAGAATAGCTTTGATATGTAAAATTTAAGAATTTATTTTTACTATTAAAAAATCAAATATTTTTATTCTTAATATATAAAAAACAAACATAGGATTTCACAATTTTATTTTTTATTATTTTATATAAATATCCTTAATTTTATAATTGTAATTATAAGATGGCAACAATAAAATAGGCTAACCAAATAAGTTTTTAATATTTAATCAGCATGCAGTTTGTCTCCATTCAAATCCAACAACTCCAGTTGAGGGAATTTAGCTAATAGCTTAAGTTTCAAGATAGCCAAGACAATTAGTTTTAATTATTGTTCCTGTCTCCAAAGTTATATTAAAAGTCATATTTTGTTGGCATCTGTTAAGTACAAGAGTTCCTACATCTATACCAATATCTGGATCTATAGGTTTTAAACAGAGTTATAAATCCGAGTACTCAGTTTCTTATCTATCTAGACTTTTAATAGAGTAAATAGTTGCAAAACTTAATAGAGATAAGATAGCAACAAGTAAAACAGTTGATTTCATTTTATTTTTTCTTAAAAGCTGATTAAAGTTTGTTTGATTTGATAAATCTTTATTAATATAGTTCTATTATTAATCGTATATAAATAATTTATTAGCTTAAATTAATTTGATATTTCATCTAATTATTCAAAATAAATCATTTTCTATATTTTTTTCTATCATTTTTCATTAAACAAATAAAAATTTTAACTATCAATTTTTTGATCAGCCCTAATCTAAAAATATCTGTCTCGTTGTATATTTAATAATTTATTAAAAAGAATAAATAAAAAAGCCAAAAATGAAATTTGTATTGATTTAGCTGTCTTATTAGATGTCGCTTCTTGCATAGTTTATTTTATGAATGTTGGGATAACGAATATTCTACATATATACTTGAGAAACTACTGATCATTTAACAAAAACAACAACTCCGGTTATACTCCTTCTAGTCTGGAAACATTTTTAATAGGTTAAGAAATATTCAAGTAAGCTATGTATTGTATTTTATTTTTCTATATATTTTTTCTTATGACTTACAAATTACTTTTCCTCTCATTCATTTTAAGTAAAAATGATACTTAAATGAGTCCCTAACATTATTCAACTCTCTAATAAGATAATAATAGCTTTAATATCTCAAACTGTACCATTCCTGCCTCTATTAAATAAACTAATCTTTGCTCTAATCAAACTTTATTTTATAGTAAATTCTACAGCTATACTTTCAAAATGCATGGATCTTCGGCTTTGATGCTCCCAGATAAAAAATCCCTTTAGTTTAAAATCTTCAATAAAGCTAAATTAGATTTGACGAATATTAATTAATAATTAAATCAATAAATACTGTATTCCTATCAGAAACTTTTTGTAAAATTCTGTATTTAACAACAGACATTTATTTTAACTATTTAATATTTGAAAGTCGACTTATTTGATTTATACTTCTTTTTAATATCATTGGTTTGTATTCAAATTTAAAAGCCTTTAATTTAAATTTATTTAAAGTTGATTTATTTTTCAAAAAATGTCTTATTAATTAAATTAATCTTTTATATTTTTTATGATAAACTATTATAAAATAAATATAAATAGTATAAATTATTTTATCTTAAATAAATCAATCTTTTATATTTTTTATGATAAACTATTATAAAATAAATATTTATAGTATTTAATTAATTATTTTTAAATCTCAAATTTTAATCAATATGGGGGTCAAATATTTATTTGTTTAAGAATCAAAAAATGAACAGAAGCTATTTTTCTTCCCATTCATTTTTAACTTATTTTATTTTTATAAAATACCTACCACGCCTACTGATTATGAATACTAATTATCAACAAATAATCATTAAAAGTAATATAGCATATTAGATAGATTTAAGATCTTATCTAATTATATCTAAATCCCACTCCTAATAGAAACTATTATTTTTGATAAAACCAATCTTATTTTTTATTATTGAGAATTCTCTTCAGATTTATTTTATTTTAGAATTACCTTAGTCACATCTTTGAAATTTATTTTTTTTTAAATTTAAAAACATAAATCTATATATAAACATTATCTATAAAAGTAAATATAAAGTATTTGAATATTTATTTTTATGTATTTTAATTTAAGTATCTATTTTACTTAATATGAATTTAATATTTTTAATTATTTATCTTTTTTTTCATTAAAAAGTTCAATATCTTGATAACTTTTTCAAAATAAAAAAAATATTCTAAAATACTCAAATTACTAATAGATTTTCAAAAATATTATTATTATTTATATGAATTAAATAAATAATTTATTTCAAAGATCTAAATAGACATACGCAAAAATATATGTGTTCATGCGTACTATTTTTAATTCATTTTACATTCTCAATTTTATAATTATTGATTTTGAGTGGAATTAATTTAATCAAATCAAATCTATTCATATCAGAAAAATTTTTAGTTTTAATAGAAATACATTAATTCTAATAAAAACACATTTTTTTCTGGTCAGGGATGTATCAAAAAGGTTATTGAATTTTTGTTTATAAATTATTTATAGCATATTATTTTTATTAAAATTTGAGATTTAACATTCAATTTATCTTAAATCTAACTAAACATTTTAAAAAATTTAAGCTAAAAAAATAATTCTTATTTTCTATTTTACTTTTAGGTTTGAGAGAAAATAATAAAATTAGCTTCTCAAACATATCAAGAAAAAATTTAATAAATAATCAAATTTATTTAGTAAACAGATTGATACTTTTACCAATTATTCAAAATAGATCATTTTTTCAATTAATTATGATATATTTACCAAATTAAACTTTCTATTCCAATATTTTACTTTCATATTAGATAGATCTTTTAATAAAATTAAGTAAAAATAAATCTTAAGTAATTTTCTGATCAGTCCCTAAATTAATTAAATAGTCTTAAAGGTTTATCTGTATTTTGCCTATTTAACTATTTCTTTATTAATTGCCTAATCAATTAATCTATCTATCTATCTAACTTCTTATACTGCATTCAGAACAAACAAAATTTTATAAATTAAAATTAATTAAGAAAATACAAAAAAGTACAAAAAAATAATATATCAAAAATAAATGAAGGTTTTATTCGCTTTAGCTGTCTTATTAGCTGTCGCTTCTTGTTAAGTTTACCCCATGAATGTCGGTAATGAATGCTCTACTGCTTCTTGCTCTAGAAGCTACTGGTATTTCAATAACACCAATTACAATTATACTTGCCCTAAGGCTGGAAACAGTATGGCTAGATTCAGAAGTGTTCAAGGAAACTACGTCTTAGATTTTGTTGCCTACAATGCCTTAGCTTCTGATGCAGCAGTTACTATTCCCCTCATTTACAATCCTAATGCTAGTTAAAATGGTCTCTAATATTACTCTGCTCTCTAATAAGGTCACAATTTTGCTATCTTGAACTGCACCCTTGCTGCTGCTAGATAATACACTAATCTCTGCTCTAAGCACGCTTTAGTTGGTGGTAAGATTTACAACAACACTTTCCAAAATGGATGCGCCTTCGGTTTGGATGCTCCCAGATACGCTTTCTTACAATAAGAAATGCCCTTGGAATTCGAATCTTCAATTTGATTTGTTTTGATTTGACGAATACTAACTAATATATAAATAATAATATTAAAAATATCTCTACTAGTAAATAAATAAATGAATATATATTAATATGATTATTTGTTTGCTATTATTGTACTTTAGAAATATAAATTTATTATTCCATCTAATTAAATTATTTAATTTTTCTTTTGTAAAATAAATCCTTGTTTTAACATAGAGATTTTAGCTATTTAATAATTGTAAACAAAATCATGTGGTATTTTGAATTATATTAATATTACATTATTAATAAAAGATTATGTCTAATTTTAACCAATTAATTAATTTATTTATTAGTTTGTTTTCTTATTTTGAGAATTTTTCTATTTATTATTTAATAAATATCATGCATGATAAAACTAAATTGAATTTTATCAAAAATTTTTGAAAAGAATGTAATAAAAATATAGAGAAAAGGTATTTAAAATATTAATTTTGTTTAATTTAAGCACAAAATAATACTGAAAACACTAATTTTATACAATTTATTTCTTATCTTTTAGTTGTATTTTATCGTTATCTGGAATAAAAAAAGTTTTATAAAGATAGTTTTTTAAGATAAACAAAAAATAATAAAATAAAAGCTGGAGATTTATCTATTAATTTATTAATAATAAATATATCTTATTATAATAATTGCTAAAAATTAGTTATTCAGTTAATAAATTTGATGTTTTTAAATAAAAATATCTTAGATAAAAGATAAAATATTAAATTAATTAGTTACTTCTAATTTAAACTAAGCACTCATTTGTAAAATTTATGAATTTATTTTTAATTGTTAAAAATTAAATATTATAATCTATTTATAAAAATAGGGAGGTAGTTAGTTATGTTACATGTCAGCAACTGATTTTATTTGATTTATTTTAAAACTTTTGTTTCAGTAAAACTCAAAAAAATTCAATCTGTTTAAATTTTATAAATTGTTGTTATCAAAAAATAAAATTTTTATATTAGCTTGGCTATAAATAAAATAAATTGTATATTTCTGTATTAACTTGCTACTTACATACACTATTTAAATTTATTTATTAGAAAATAAAAAATTAACTTTTAGTTACTATCTTGAAAAAATTTATTTATTTTTAAAGTAGATAGATAAAAACATGTACAATTATGATAAAACACACCTATATTTTTGTTGTGTATTAAGTAATATAATTTAATCAAAAATTAAAAATAAATTGCTTATGTTTATCAAATAAAATGTCCTTATCAACTAATATTTTATTAAAATTTTATAGAATATATAATCTTATTATATTATAATAATCAAAGTTTAAACATTGATACTGACTGTATGATTGAATTATTAAGTTATTAGCTAAATAACCTAATAATAACAATTATATATATTCGTTTTATATTTTTTAATTGAAATAAATACAAATAAAAATAACAAATTAATCATAATTTAATAAAATAAAATTATTACCATGTTTAAATTCTAGATTTAATTTATTTATAGATGGACTTATTAGATAATTTAATTTACAAATTATACATTAATTGTATTCATAAAAATAACATTTTTTAATTTTGAAATGATATGTAAACTTTTATCAATCGAATCAATCAGTAGTTAGCTTCAAATTCAAAGTCTCCTGCTTATTGTAAGAATGATCTGGCAGAGGGACTCAAACCAAAAGCACAAGAAGATTCAAAAACGTTCTTAATAACTTTAATACCAACTAAAGGATATTTGTTGCAAAGACTAGAGTAAGCTGTGGCACCAGCAATAGTGCAGTTCATGATAGCGAACTATTCGTTAGATTTCAAATTTGAGAAATATTGAACACCATTTTAAGAGGGTGTAGGAACATAAGTGAGAGGAATAGAAACTTTAACATCAGTAGACAAGAAGTTGTAAGCTGTGAAATTAAAAAAGTATTAACCTCTTTATAATGAGAAAGCAGCAGTAGATTTTCCAGATAAAGGGCAAGTGTAGTTTTAGTCAACATTTCCTACAGTCCAATAACTTCTAGGGCATTTAGCAGTAGAGCATTCACTTCCAACATTGAAAGGATAGACTTGGCAAGAAGCAACAGCTAATAAAAGAGCAATAGCAATCAAAGTTTTCATTTCTTTTTAATTTTTTTTTTTTTGAGTTTTTTTATGAATTAATTATTATTTCTTATTGAAGAGATAGGCTTATTATTTAAAGGTATCTCGTATATAAAAAAGATAAATTAATAGAAACTACCTTTTACTGTTGGAAGTATCGAAAATATTTATTTACCGATCAAAATTTGTTTGATTTTGTTAAATTTAGTTTTAGGTTTTGCTGATCAAAAATTTTTATAAAAGAGTAAATTTGGAATTCACTGTAATTATTTTACAAGATATAAGATCATTTTTTCGCTAAATTGATTTAATAAGTAGCTAAAATTGATTAATATTATTTATTCTAAAATAAATTTATTATGATTTTAAATAAGCTTCATTTGTTTGATTTTGTTAGTTTTAGCTTTTGCTGATCAAAAATTTTATAAAAGAGTAAATTTGGAATTCTTTGTTTTATAATTATACAAGAAGATCGTTTTTTCACTTAATTGATTTAATAAGTAGCAAAAATTCATTAATGTTATTTACTCTAATAAAAATTTATTATGATTTTAAAAGAGCTTCATATATATTTAATCATTTTATATTTTCACTTTTAAAAAAATAATCTTAGTTATTTTGATTATCAGATTTTCTTATTGTACTATTCCGATAAGAAATTCTATCGAAATATCAATAAATAGTAGAAAAAAATAAAATCTAATCTGAATTTGATTAATTCTTAGGTAATTATCAAAAATAATTTAAAAATAATTTATTCTATAGATAAAACAAACTTAAATTTGGATGATAAAAAAATTTCTTACCAATTAAATTTTAGCTAATAGTTAAGGAAGGGTTAAAATAAAATTGTCTAGAAATGTTTATTTATAAATAAGTGTTTGATTTTGCTTTTTTAAGCTTTTAAATTAGTAAAATTTTTTAGTTTGATGAAATCATATTTTTGTAATTCAAATGTATTGTTTCTTTACTAAATATTTTATAAAGATTCATTTATAATTTTGATAAAAATTTAATTTTAAAGATTGAATTAAATTTTTCTAAATTTTAATAATGTTTTTTAATAATTAATTAGTTATAATCAATTTTGGAATATATTGTTGAAAACTTTTGAATGTTGTTAGTAATAGGTGTCTATAAAAGACTGATTAACCCAGATTTATAAAGAATGTATTTCAATTAATTGCTATAATGAAGTAGGATTTCTAAATGCGCATATTAAAAAGAATCTATCAAATAAATTAATGACTTCAAACAAATTTATTAAAAAGCAAAAAAAATAAATATTTGTGATTTAAATCTAAATGAACTTAATTAATTTGATGATAAAATTTAAATAGATATCAGCCAAAATATTTATTTAGAAGAATTGATTGAAAAAGTATAAGAAGAATATAAAAAATTAAACTATGGATATTTAAGGCAATAAATAAATAAATAACTAACTAAAAAGAGTTAATTGATTTTTGAAGAGTAAAATAATCATTTTATTCTCAAATATAAAATTGTAAAAGAAATTATTTAAAAAATAAATACTATGCTAAAGGGTAAATAAATCTTTCAATGTGATATTAAATAGAACTTAGATCTATAGGAAAAACGTGGATTTAAGATTAAATCAAATTTCTTAGAATTAATCAAGATAAATAGTGATACTCAAAATCACTATTGCTTATATAATTTTCACATTAAATAAAAATACATGTTTTTAGTAAAAAAGTAAACCTCTCATCCTACTCTAAGTAAGTTGATTTGGTGAGTACATGCACTTTTTAATAGAATTTAAAATTAAATTGAGATTTTATATTTATTTATGTATTAAGAAAGTAAGTCATATTTTGGTTAAAATTCATAAGCCCTAGCAAGTGATTAATATATATTCTAAATCCTCGTTAATTAAGAGCCTCATAAATTAAAATCCAAAAAAAATTTTTATGGAACCCTCGCCCTCTCTCGTTCGTTCGTCCACCTGAAACGAGGGACGAGAGAATGAGGTTTTATGGCAATATTTTATCAAAATTTTATAGAATATATAATTTTATTATATTATAATAATAAAAATTTAAACGTTAATAGTGACTGTATGATTAAATTATTAAGTTATTAGCTAAATAACCTAATAATAACAATTAAATAATTCGTTTTATTTTTTTTAATTGAAATAAATACAAATAAAAATAACAAATTAATCATTATTTAATAAAATAAAATAATTATTAGGATTAAATTCTAGATTTAATTTATTTATAGATGGACTTATTAGATAATTTAATTTACAAATTATACATTAATTGTATTCATACAAATAACATTTTTTAATTTTGAAATGATATATAAACTTTTATCAATCGAATCAATCAGTAGTTAGCTTCAAATTCAAAGTCTCCTGCTTATTGTAAGAATGATCTGGCAGAGGGACTCAAACCAAATGCACAAGAAGTTTCAAAAATATCCTTAATAACTTTAATACCAACTAAAGGATATTTGTTGCAAAGGCTAGAGTAAGCTGTGGTACCAGCAATAGTACAGTTCATGATAGCGAACTATTCGTTAGACTTCAAGTTTGAGAAATACTGAACACCATTTTAAGAGGGTTTAGGAACATAAGTGAGAGGAATAGAAACTTTAACATCAGTAGACATGAAGTTGTAAGCTGTGAAATTAAAAAAGTATTAACCTCCTTATAATGAGAAAGCAGCAGTAGATTTTCCAGATAAAGGGCAAGTGTAGCTTTAGTCAGCATTTCCTACAGTCCAATAACTTCTAGGGCATTTAGCAGTAGAGCATTCGCTTCCAACATTGAAAGGATAGACTTGGCAAGAGGCAACAGCTAATAAAAGAGCAATAGCAATCAAAGTTTTCATTTCTTTTTAATTTTTTTTTTTTTGAGTTTTTGTATGAAATTAATTATTATTTCTTATTGAGGTGATAGATTTATTATTTAAAGGTATCTAGTATATAAAAAAAATAAATTAATAGAAACTACCTTTTACTTTATGAAGTATCTAAATTTTTTTACCTGATCAAACTTGGTTTGATTTTGTTAATTTTAGTTTTAGGTTTTGCTGATCAAAAATTTTTATAAAAGAGTAAATTTGGAATTCACTGTAATTTTTATACTAGGCTCAGACAAATAACTTTCATTCAAAATAGAGTTAATTGTGATGTTAGTTTCAACTCCATTAATCAAATGAGTGTTCATAATTTTTAAGATAGCCTTGTATCTAAAATTTATTAGGATTTTTAATAAACTTCATTTGTTTGATTTGTTAATTTTAGTTTTAGCTTTTGCTGATCAAACATTTTTATAAAAGAGTAAATTTGAAATTCTTTGTCTTATAAATATACAAGACGTAAGATCGTTTTTTAGTTTAATTGATTTAATAAGTAGCTAAAATTGAAAAATATTATTTACTCTAAAATAAATTTATTATGACTTTAAAAAAGCTTCATAAATAATTAATCATTTTATATTTTCACTTTAAAAAAATAATCTTAGTTATTTTGACTATCAGATTTTCTTATTGTACTATCCTGATAAGAAATATTATCAAAATATCAATAAATAGTGGAAAAAAATAAAATCTAATCTGAATTTAATTAATTATTAGGTAATTATCAAAAATAAATTAAAAATATTTTTTTCTATTGATAAAAAAAACTTTTAACTTTGGATGATAAAAAAAATTTCTTACTAATTAAAATTTATCTAGTAGTTAAGGAACGGTTAAAATAAAATTATCTAGAAATGTTTATTTATAAATAAGTGTTTGATTTTGCTTTTTGAGCTTTTAAATTAGTAAAATTTTTTAGTTTGATGAAATCATATTTTTTTAATGCAAATGTATTGTTTGTTTATTAAAGAGTAATTGATTTTTGAAGAGTAAAATACCATTTTTCCTCAATAAAAGAAATTATTTAAAAAATAAATACTTTTGTTCAAGGATAAATAAATCTTTCTCAATGATATTAAATAGAACTTAGATCTATTGGATAAACGTCGATTTAAGATTAAACCAAATTTCTTAGAATTAATCACAATAAATAATGATACTCAAAATCAGTATTGCTTAATTAATTTTCACATCAAATAAAAATACATGTTTTTAGTAAAAAATTAAACCTCTTTTTCTTCTCTAAGTAAGTTGATTTGGTGAGTGCATGCACTTTTTAATAGAATTTAAAATGAAATTGAGATTTTATATTTATTTATGTATTAGGCAAAGTAATTCGTATTTTGGTTAAAATTCAAAAGTAATAGCAGTGATTAATTTGAAGATTATTTAACTGTATTAAAATTTGTATTTAAAGTAATTTTATTTTTTAAATATAAACTTATAAAATAATAGTAATAGAATTAATTAATGAATTTATTTTAATTGTTCATTCATTTTATATGCAATTTTTTGTTTTACTAAAACCATTTTTTATTTTTTATTTTTTTTTAGAGCGGTTAAACCAAGAACGTTTTGACGTTAATTAATCAAAGTAAGATGACATTGATTTTTTTTTTTCATATATATTTAAGGATTGTTATGTATTATTTTTTATTTGAGTATTTGAACTTTAATTCAAGATAATTGAATTTTAGCTCTATTCCTTTTTATTATTTTTTTCTTTTCTTTTTTAATTAATAAATTGAATCAGCTACATAATTAGTTAAATTAGCATTAAAAAAACTGGTAATAATATTATTATGAATAGTATAACTAAGAATATTAAGGAGCTTACGTCTAAAAATACTTCATGGTTTTTGCTTAGAGTTTACTAAATAATAATGTTAATTAAAAGAAATATTATGTAAAGTATCAACCATAACAGAGAATTTATTATAAAAAAAATGTTATTTAGCTTAGAAGCAAAAGGTCTTAAATAAATTGTTATGACAAGAAGGCTGAATTAAACAGTTAAAGATAGTGATGTACATACTTACCAGATAGAACTGAACTATATAAAAATAGTTGGTATAAGCAAGGCTTCAAAAACTAAGTTAATTAACACAAAGTATCTTCTTATTTTAGATTCTAATATAATATCATTTAGAATTTTCTATTTATTGATTTAACTAAAATTATTATTATTATCATCAAATTAGGCTTTTTCATAATTAATATATTTGTGTAAGGCATAGAATATGCAAAGAATTGATGTTAAAAGTAATAATGTAAAACTTATTTTAAGACCTAATAATTAGATTTCAGAGTTTTTTGCAAATTCTTTGATTTGTTGATTAATTCCAATAGAAAAAATCATTACACACAGCTAACTATACTAAATGATTAATCCTGATATAATTATATCATAAAGCTTGCCAAAAAATGAAATGAACTTAACATTGTGAGTATATTAGAAAATTAAGCATAAAGCTAAAAAGCAAAATAAGCAAACAGAAAATACAAGAGCATATTATCCACTTGTCTGTAAAATATTAAAAGATATATTCACTAATTAGTATCTATCACTTTAATAATTTTAGTTATCTGAACTAATTAAATTTTTGAATGCATTTAGAAATGTCAACTGCTAAGTAGGATACTATTCTTTTTATATAAAATTTGATAAATATTATTAAATTTATCATAAAATTTAAATAATAAATAAAAAAATATAATTAATTAATTAAAATGAGTTTTTCAATTATATTCCAATAAAAATAATTACTAGATAAAGCTTACAAAAATTGATAGATATTTATGGGTAAGATAGTATCTACCAATAAAAAATAGCTAAATTTTTAAACTATAAAACCACTCATCAATATACCAAAGCTTGAGGAAGACACTGCACTTTATAAAAAACTCAAAGACATTGCACTTGTAAATGCTATTTATGATACTTAACTTATTGATTTCATAGTCTCATCCTTTTCTTAGCAAGAACTTCCCAGTAAATAGTATCCATCAGTGCAACTTAGACAATTTAACAAACTATTATCGCATGAACTACAACCCAAAGGACACTTTTGATATTATTTGTTTGATTTATTTTTTTAAGCTTTAAATTCAGAATACTTAACAAAAAGTAAATCAATATTATTTTTTACAAGCACATTTTTACAAAATCAATGTGCAGTAAGTAGAATGAATAAATGAACTTTTATGCATATTTTTTTAATAATAAAATCTTAAAAATTTTGAAAATGTAAAAAGGGAAAATATTGTGGTATGGGATGCATTAGTTAGTTAATAATTAACAAAAATTTAAAGAATTAAAATTATTATGCTTAAATAATACCTTAAATATCAATATGTAAAGCGATTCAATATATTTTGTATACTAGCCAGGATAATAAGAAATCTAAGTAACTAATTCATTAAGATTATCAAAAAATATCCCACCTGAATAGTAATCACATAAATTAAAAGAAGCAAAGTATTATGAAGGAGTAATTTAGGTATATTTTTGAAGTTATTTATTAACAGATATAGAAGCATTTATCATCGGGCAATTAGATTAAAAAACCCACTGAACTGGGAAAATGAAGACTCTTTAAGCATAATATGGAGAACTATTTACAATATAAAAAAATGTTTGTGATTAATTAATTTTATCAGCAATATTATAAGCAATATTGTTACCTATTGTATCGATAAACAATAGGTTATGTATAATCACAGCTATCACCTCCTATCCCATAAAAGTTATTACCACCCATTGCAACATTTTTAATATTATAGCAGCTAGGACTTGGAAATACCAAATTAGGACTAACTTGGTTAATATCATAGTTATTAGTCTAAGCTAAAGCGCATATAATTTCTTAAACATTTTTAATTTATTTTAATAATATTTATAAAATAAAAAACATTTTTTACATGATGCATTAAAATTTTAACTTGTTATAACAGGTGTACAATCATATCCATTAGCTTAATTTATTTGTTTAAAGAACAACAACAACACAGCAATTTAAATTATAATTTTAATATTTGATATAAGATTAATAAACAACATTTAATTTTCTATTTCCTAAATTTTTTTAGTGAATCTTTTTTAAAGAAATTAATTATAAAAACAGTGTTATTTTTTGTCTGAAATAAATGAACTTAAGAATGATTTCAAATATAAAAATATAAATTTTCATTATAAATAAATAATTAGTAATTAGATGAAAAAAATTCCATCAAATCAATTAATTAATTTTTTGTGGTATTAAAATATTCTTGATTTAAAAATGAATATCAAAAAAGTTTATAAGTACTCTTTTTATTTATTTTGCAAAAAATTGAATAAAAGATTTTTAATATTCATAGATATTTTAAGTATATAGATAGATTGTATTATAAATAAAAATCAATTAAACACTTACAAATAAGATTTGTTAATAAATAATTACATTTTCTGTAAACAATAACAAAGTAAAATGAATGATAATATATGATAGGCAATCTAAAATTATATTTCAGCTTATCTTTATTAGTAATATTTTAGTGATAAAAATTTATTGTTAACTAATAGCGAAGTTTTAGTATTTAGATATTCAAATTTACCAAAGTTTATATTTTTAGTTGTTTTTATTAGCTAAAAAGATAAGCTTTATTACAAGAATTAACTCTCGATGAGGATTTCATTATAAAGGAAATGAAATTCCTACCTGAAATACAGTAATTTTAGTAGAAGCAAGCTAAAAGAAAATCTTAATCAAGCAACCATAAAAGATTCTTAATTATTATTTACAATTTTAATAGATTGTATTTAACAGAAATTGAAGTTGATTATAAAAATGAAAAAATAACTTGTAGTATTTTTGATGAGATGGCAAGCAGAAAGTAAGAAATATGTTAATAAATATTTTGGTAAGGTAAACATTAGATGATGCTAAAGAAAGAATTGCTAATAATTAATCATAAGTTAGCGTTAAATAATCATATCATCATGTAGAAATAGTAATATTTAGTTGGGTCGAAGGGATTTGCATGCAAAATTTTAGTTAATGAAAAGACTCAGCAAATAATAAGTTCTTCTACGGTATCTGTGGAAATGTAAATTCAGTATTCTTAATTGAAAAGGATAATTAGACATTTTTCATTCCTATTTCTCTAAAATAGAATTCAGAAAATATTGATATTTATTTACCTCTCTGTTTATAATAATAAAATAATGGTGGAGACAAAAATGAGAGCTCTTTTTTGCATTAAGAAATAAGAAATTAATTAGATAAATTACAAACAAACAAAAATAAATTAGTTGATGATGAACTTCTGGTAGAAATTCACATAAATAAAGCTTTAACTTCAATATTCTTTCTTAGAATAAAATTTTTATATACAATATTTTTATTTAAAAAGCCAAGCTCAAAGAAGGTTCAATAAAAGTACTTAATTCAAAAGGTAATTTGATATTCCACAACAAGAATGTATGTAATATTTACTTTCTTTTAATTTACTTGCTACTCCTGAACTTATAGCTTTGTGGCTATTTAAATAAAACGATAAGAATTAACAAATATAAGCTTCATTCGAGATATTTAAGCTATTATTTTCTAATATATGCTTACTTTGTTCGTTGCTGGCTTGAATAGAAGCATTGAAAGTATTCTCTAAAAATCTTAGTATTCGCAAATAAATCTATCTAGATTCTGATTTTAAATTGCAATTCCCAAGTTACTTATCTACAATCATCTGATGGATATTTAAAATTTAAGCAACATAATTCCTCCAAATAAAGTTACTTCAAATTAATAACTTCCAAACAACAATCAAATAAATAATTTGATTTAAGCTCTATAATCCAATATACATTAAAAACCCTATCCTATCAATAATTAATCTAATAGCAAGTCTATGTTACAAATTTATTTTTGATATGATGAAATAATACAAATCAAATTCGGCATTTAAGTAGAAAAAAGTATTGGCGAGTAATAAAATAATAAGGTGGTAATGTACATAATTAAGTTCAAAGTATATAAATTACTTAATTTTTACCAAAATTATTTTTAAAATGATTTTATACCAATCGAAATATACAATATAAATGAGCATTAGATTTATTTATTTATTATTTTATGTGAATATTTCATTTAATAAAATTTAAGTCTGAAGTAGAATTACGTTTATGAGTTTATTTATGTTGAGGAGTATAACATTGAAATTAAGATGAATTAGAATTGAAAAAAGAGCTCTGTTTGAACATATTTTAGTACTAAGGCATTTAGTTATATATCGGCTCGTATGAAAAGTTAACTTCTTGATACATAATTTATTCTTATTGCTTTGAATTGTTTCCTTTTTGTAGCAAAGTCTTAGCTTTATCAATTTATATTTGGTTCAAGAAGAATGGAGATGTGGAAGCCTATGTGCTACTTCTAACGGAAGAGCTTAAGCTATTTTAATTGCTCTTAGATGATCTTGAGGTAAAGTTCTCAATTATATTATCTGTTTCAAGACGAAGATTGCTATTGTGAAATGAGCTTCTATTTTTGGTTCTTCTAAAATCTCTAGTCGTTAAAGATCCTTCTATATCTGCCAGGATAGGCATCAAAGCTTTTTTACGAGATGAGCCACTGCCACTAGTTTAATTTGGAGTAGTAAAGTAAGAAAGAATCTATTGGCTTGACTACTAGCTGATATTTTTATTGTGTTGCAATGTCTAAATAATATTAGCATTAGCTTTCTTTAGCCTTTGAGAGGAACTAGAATCCTCTGTTGTGTTTCCTATGTTTTTTTCTTGAGCTAATAAGATAAAATTTTTAAAGATCTCTTCTCCTTATTTGAATCCAAAGATAACTTTAAAAGTCAATTCGAATTTCTCAAATTTTGTTTCTATATCTGCAGTACTTTGTTAAAGCTTTTGAAGGAAAATTAAGTAGAGACGCTTGATTTCTTACTGTTCAATTTCATATTTTTATTGTTCTAAATTTTGCTAATTTTCTAAGATTTTAGGTAAAACATCCAAGAAGTCAATATCTTCTATATTCAGCACTTGCTTAATAGTTTATCTTTCTTAAAACTTTTCAATCATTTACTATTCATCATACACTTATTCCCATTGACTTCCATTTTGCATTTAAATTCCATCTACAATTTTAATTATTGGTCTAAGCACTTTTACATTCTCCTTCTTTATAATCTCTAGCTTATCTTTCATGAGCTACTTACGCTCTTTAAATTAATCTAAGAAGAGATTAAAATCTATGTGCTAAAGTCTTTTATCTCTAGAAATTTCTTCTTTGATTAAAATCTTTTATTTCTCAACCTCCTCTAAATCCAATTCAATTTTAGCTTTTTAAAAAATAAAATCTTTGCTTTCATCATCAAGAAATCTCGGAATATCTTGAGCAATAATGTCTACTTTTAATTTCTTTAGCAGTTTAATCAGCTCGCAGATGCTTCCTTTGTAACTGTTTAGATAAAATCGAATAAAATGCAATTAATGAATATCTTTCAACAAATAAATTTTTCATTTAGATAATAAAAATAATTAAAATATTACGAGGCAATACCAGTTTAAATCAATTTGAACAAAAAAACTTTAAATTAGTATTTGAGGTGAGATTTATCTTTTTTTTAGATGAGAATTTTCTTTTCTATGTCTTCTATTTTAAAGAATCTATCATCAATTTCATTTTAGAGTTATCTTATATTTTTTAATATTGCCATTTCTTCAACTTCTTTCATTTCTTATAGTTTCTTTTTTAAAAAAGAAGATTATTTATTATCTAAAATATGTTTCTAATTAATTACAGATTGTTTTTTATCAATTGTATAATTTCCTCTATAAGGTTATCCCAACGAATATCCTTTTCTTGAAATTGAGCTCATAACTGCATTTCTCAGCATCATTTGCTAGTTCTCTAGTTCTTCATACTTTTTTTTAACTGCAACTTATTAGTGCTAAAGTTATTTAATTTCTTGGTGCATGTTGTTAATACTAATTCTCAGATCTCCAACTTGAAGCTTTTTCTGTCTTAAATCTTAACTCAGCTTTTAATATTTCTCCACAAATAAGTCATTTAAATACTAATAATTTAGCTTATCTCTTTCCATAGCTTATATTTCCTTATCAAGCTCAGGATTCTTCTCAAATTACTTTCTATTATATTTAATTTAAATATCAATCAATCATCTTAATCTAAACAAACAAACAAACATTCTTAAATTAAAATTTAAAAATATTTTTTTATAAAATTTTCTAATTTTATTTTTATCATAAAATCGTTGTTTTATGGTTTTTTAATTTGAATACCTTCAATCCCAATTGATTAAGGCCCACACACCTACCCTTAAATTTTATATTTAACTGAGGACCTTAATTAAGATGGTTTTTTTGAAATTTCTAATTTAGTTTTAATTGAAGAAAGTATTTCGCATTATAAAAATTCATATTGATTTATAAATGATAAAAGTTATTTAGAAATATTGAAAAGCTAAATAAATGTTAATGAATTATCATTATTTATTTAGATAGTTAGTAATTTATGAATAGTTATTTAATTTTACTTGTTGTCAATAAGCTTTTTATAAAGCCAGTCATAATTTACTATAAAATCTGACTTTCTCATAGTTGTATTAACTATCTTGAAGGAGTTTATTGTGTCGCTGGTCTTTGAATCTAATTGCTTGTTTCTAAGTAAAATGTCGTTTTCTACTTTTTTCTGCAAGTTCATTCCTCTGTTCATTTTATTATAGATAACATTATTTATAATGTGCTTATTTAGCTCAAATTTTTAGGCATCTACACTCTACTTAATAATTTTAACATTCTTTTTATTAACTTTTTCTTCACTTTTAACTCTATGATTTGTATTCACTGAAATACTTCTTTATAGTTGACGGTGGCTATTATGAATGATATCCTCCTTTATCTCATCGATCCAAGTTTCACCACCTTCTAACTCTTCCCCTTCAAGTTCTTCATTTTATTCAGTTATCTTTGAAATTTGGTTTTCTTCATTTAATTCATTGGTTTATTACTGAACATAACTCATTTTTTTCTTTCTCTATTTAGAATCACTCTTATCCTAATAAGCTGATTAAACTAAAGGGAAAAAAAAAAATTGAAAGTAGAAATAGTCTAATTATAAAAAAAACAAATTAACCATTGTCATTCAATATTGAGTTAATTATATTTTCAGAGAGTTCAGGATCTTCTGGCTGCTTAGCAGTGATGAATTTGTTCCTTTCGATTTATTTATTATTGCTTTTAATGATGTCTTCGATTGATTCCTCCTTTTTAATTGAATTACTATCTGAATTAATCCAATGCGCCTCTTAGAGTTAGTTAAAACAGAAATAAATTTAGATAAATATATTAATTTCTATTATTTAATAATGATATAAAATTATTTTTACTCTTTTCTTATGACCAAGTATCTAACGATTCTATAACTATCTTTTCATTAATTATATTATCCAAAGGCTCACCAAAATCAGAATCAATTGCAGTCAACTCTTAAACTTTAAATTAAATAGATTTTTTGCTTTTATTTGTTCGAGTTACCATCAAGCTTTTGGAATTCTTCAGTTATTCTTTTTAAGATTTAGCTCCTTCATCTGGCTTTGTTTATATAATATTAATTCTAATTTATTTTTTAATTTGCTTTAAAGGACTTAAAATCCCATTTTGAGTCTACATGTATGGGTCAATTAATTAATTAATTAATTAATTTTGTTAGGTCTACTTTGTAAATCTCTTCCAAATAAAACTAAATTGAATGTTAATTTTTGCAGTTTAACTTAATTTTAATCATTCTATTAACTTTACCTATCAATATTTAATATCCATAAAAAACAAAACTTATTAAGCTTTTTCATTCTTCAAATACAACCCCTAAAAAAAATAAATATGAAATTCTTTAAATTTTCTGTAAAAAAAATTTTTTCCGAAATAGACAAAAATTTAGTCATTCAATCTTGCTTAATTCATAATTTAAAGCTCATTTATAACTTTTTTGTGTGTTATTCGTAAAATTAAATAGAAATATTTAGCTAATATGAAGGGATGGATATCTCAAAATAAAATAAATTTTATTCAATAAAAATGTTAAAGAGTATTTTTTTAATTTTTAAATTAATTAAAAATACTTTAAGTAAATTTTATTATGAATTAAATTTATATATTTGAATATATTAATTATCATTTTTAATAAACATTATGATTAAAACTAAGAGAAAAATAAATTATTAGCTTTCAGTTCTAAAATTTCTAGATATTTATATAAATTGATCAATAAAAAGATAGATAGATACTCAAAATGATATTTATAAAATTTATTTTATTTTTAAAATTATTATAAAAGTAAAAAAAATAATTTTTTTTAAAATTTGAATATAAAACTGAATAAAATTCTGTTTCATAAATTTATTAAAATTAAATCATTTGGTATTATGAATTTTTATACTGTGATTAGAATTTTTTTTATATTTCAATATGTTAAAAGTAATTAAAAAACAATTTATTTCTATTAATTATTTTTATAAATAAATTATTTCCATTTTTACCTAACTTGTCATTTCTTATAAGTTAAAGTATAAATAAATAAATAAATAAATAAATAAATAAATAAATAAATAACATCTAATTAATTGTTTGTAGTAGTACTTTTTCAAATTTATTTTTTAATTAAAATGATGGATCCATGCATATATAAATATTTTTAATAAGCATTAATTATTGATTCAATAAAAATCAATTAATTGTGTTTCTTATAATCATATCATATAAATAATAATGTATTTTATCATTTCAATACATTTAATTCAATAAAAAATATTGCTACAATTATTTTAAACCAGTTTATTTATCTTAGCTAATAAATAGTCAAAAAATTAATAAAATAATTTAATAATCAAAATAAAATTTATTGGTTCATTTACTTATTATAATTTAAAATAATTAATTAAAGATGTGTCGATATATCATCGAAATTCTATGTTTGATTTTTAAAACATCTATATAGAATCATATACGGTAAAGGTTCATATATTAAGACCACCTCGATTTCAGTTTAGATGTTACTTACGTTATTTATGTATGTATCCAGTCAGCGGAATTTCAATACCTGGATTAGCAAAATATGATGAGGATTTACATTATTTAATTTATTTTTGGTAAATGATATAAAAATTTTCTATAAGTCTAAATTCATATTATATTTTTAAAACATTTAATAATAATATCAAAAACTGTTGTTAAATAAATGATTTGATTTTAATTAATTTTAGTTTTTTGTAATCTAAGGAAATAAATAATATCTTCTCAATCTATTAATTAATTTACTTTATTTACATTCTATTTTAACTTACTTGATTAGATTTTAGTTAGGATCATCGTCTTTAATGCAATTAATTTTAATCAAAGAATTGTTAAATTATTTGGGTTATTAAAATTAATTAAAACTAAATGCAAAAAAAAATGTTTGCAAATATTTATTTGTTAAAATATAAAGAGAAATTAATTAATTAATTAGGGATTCAAAACCTTATTATTATTTTTTAACAAATATATAAATTTGTTTAATACATAGATTATAAATTTTTAAATTATATTTATCCTTCAAATCATCTTCAGAACATAGATTCTTGTAATTCTTATTGTAAGAAGGAGTATCTAGGAGCATCCAAACCGAAAGCACAAGCGTTTTAGAAGGTGTTGTTGTAGATCTTACCACCAACTAAAGCGTGTTGGGAACAGAGATTTGTGTAATTTTTGGAGATGGGGAAGGTGCAGTTCAAGATAGCGAAAGTGTGGTTTTATTACAAAGGATAGTAATATTAGAGACCATTTACGTAAGCGTTTTAATTGTAGTAGAGAGGAATGGTAGCTTGGACGTCGGCATTGTTTGTGACATTTTAGGCAATGAAGTCAAAAACGTAGCTTCCATTGACACCTCTGAATCTTCCGTAGCTGGGTCCAGCTCTGGGACAGGTGTAATTGTAGTTGGTGTTGTTGAAATTCCAGAAACTTCTAGCACAACCAAGTTGAGAGCATTCGTTAGCTACGTTCATGTTGTAAATTTAGCATGAAGCAACAGCTAATAAGAGAGCTAAAGTAATTAAGGCTTTCATTTATTTATTTGTCTTTATTTAATATTTTTGATTATCTATTTTTTGAATTATTATTTATTATTATTTTTTTTCCACTCAAATGAAATTAAAAGTGTTAAATTTCTTTGTTTGTTCCTATAACATAATGACCTTAAATTATTTATTTATTTGAGGTGACCAAAAAAAAAATTAATTAAAATAACAAATCACTTTCTTTGAAGGAAAAATATTATGGTTATAAGGATAAATACAAATTTTTATTATAAAACAAATAAATAAATATATATATATAACCTTAAAGATTTTCTATTTTCTTTGAGCAGTTTATATAAATTTCAACAGAAAATAAATATAAATATGAAGTAGTGAATTTTTATTTTTAAACTATTTTTAAAAGAAATTTTATTAATTTTAGCAATAATTAAATATTTAATTGTAATCGATGTTAGTATTTTAATGGAAATAATTGTTTATTTAATTTCTGCATTTATTTTAAACTGAATATATTTTCTTTTTAAATAATGTAAGCTCTTAAAACATACTCTGTTTCCACTAATTTAATAAATAATTAAAAAACTCATCTAATTCATTCATTCATTCATTATTAGATATTTTTAGGATAATCTAAAGAATGAAATAAGTTTATCATAAAAATAAAGCTTTTGTATAATTTTAAATATTTTCATCATTTAATAATGAAAAAAATTAAAATAAAATATTTTTTAACTTCTTAAAATGAATAAAAACTTTCATTTTTATTTCTTGCAACCTTAAAATATAAAATAGTTAAATTAATTGAAAAATTTTCTTTAAAATTTGCTTCTCAAAAATAAAATATAAATTTGATTTAATATTCTCAAAAATAATTGGATATTACGTAATATAAAAAAAAACCATAAGAGGTAATCAAATAATTCATAGTTTACCAAAACGAAAAAATTCAGAAAAATTTCCATTTGTAGCCAACTCAGTATGCAATTTTAAAGATAATATTCAAATTATTTGATGTATTTTAGTTTAAGCATTACCTAATTCTTTATTGCTAACATGTACTCATTTCAAAATAAAGTTAAGATTATTTTTTAGACATAAATAATTATGTAAATATTCTAAAAAAATATTTCTTTTTGCAAGAAAAAGTTTTACTAAAATATTTAAAAATATAAAAAAACTACTCTATATTATAAATACATATATTTGCTTATTATTGATATCAGAAAATTTGTTATAATTTGATTAAGCAACAAAAAAGTTAAAAACAACTCTCAAAAATTTGAAAAGAAGCAATTCTGCAAATTTTTATTGACTGTAAAAAATAATTTTTAGCTGGATTTCTCTTAAATTGAATTGCTAAGTAATACCATAAAGAGATAGATAAATAAATATATTGATTATGGAGACATTTATTGGTTTAAAGTAAATGTTATGCAATTTGTATATTGTTTTTGTCTGTTATATATCAGAAAATAAATAAAAATTTACAATAGATAGGCAGAACATATTAAAATATATTAAACTCTAAATTTTTTCTTTTTTCTGATGCTCCACTAACCAAAAATAAAATTAGATCTTATTCACCTTATTTCCTTATTCATTGTAAGCTTAATCTTTCTCAATATTAGTTGTAAATATCAACTACCATATTCTATTTGTTGTAAATATTCTTAGACTTACTTATTAAATAATATTTTTACAAATAACCAAAACCGTTGACAAGTTAATAAATTTATGAATTTTAGATGATAAACTCTTTTTCCTTAAAAATCCAAATAAAAGACTATGATTTTTTTTGTAAAAAAGAGCATATATTACTGTGAACATTATGTTATTTAGCTTCTTATAATTTTTTTTATGTTTAAGATGGATAAAAATAAATAATGATTTAACTAAATTACAATTAAAACAAATAAATTGTAAAAAAAGCCATACTTTCATCTTATTTATTTCATTTGAATTAATTAAATTACTCTAAAGTATGTTTATTTAATAAGCTTTAAATTTTTTTACTTATAATTTATTGATTTTTTGTTTTTCAAATTTAATACTAAATTCTAGATTAATTATTTTACAGTAAAAAATAAGAAATAATAAGTATTTCTAAGAGATTTTAAATAAAATTTGCATCAGCAATAATTTAAATGAGAAAAAATTTAGAATAAAAATCATGTAAATAAATAAATAAATAAATTTATCAACAAAAAATTCTAAAAATTCATTTGAAAATTTTTTTTAATTTATTTTTGAGACATATAAACTATTTCAAAGATTGGAAATATTAATTAAATTATTGAATAATTTTATAAATGAAATTAATTATTAATATAATTTGCTTATGAATCTTTATTAGGGACTTTTAGTGTAAATAAATTTGATATTTTTAATGTTTGTATTTATTTTAAAAATAATAAGGATTGAAAAATAAAAGTATAATTTAAATTTATTTATATGTTAAAATTTATTTATTTATTTATTTAATAATTTTAAAAATAAACAAACAAATAAACTGAATTAAATATATTTAAAAACACAAAATTTAATTTAACTAAAAAAATTGCTTATTTATTAAATTATATCAAATTTAAAGTAATAAGCAAGCAATTTTTTAAATCAGTAAAATTAATAAAAAATATATTTAAGTATATTTTATTCTTATTGAATTAATCTAAATATTTTCAGCTATTTATTTATCATGATAAAATTTTCTTGTAAATATTATTTAATAGGATTCTTTTGCTTATATATTTGGTGAGGATAAAGTTTTGATTGATATAAATTTTTTAAAAAAATAATAATAGTATTTATAAATTGATTGTTTAATCTATTAACAAAAAATCTTAAAAGAGATTTTTTTGGTCTATCCTTTATTTATTTTTGATCAAACTAGATTTTTTTTATTTAATATGATTTAATTATTAATTTTATTTATTTAACTATTAATTCATTTTTTTATTGGCAAAATAAATTAATTTTGGGTTTTAAATACTTAAATTATTTGATTATAATAAAAACTACGTAAAAGAATTGAAAATCATTTTAAAGATAATATTTGATAGTTTTATAAAATATATTTATTAGAAAGCTATTAAATAAATTAAATTAATTTTTAAATGTTAATCAATATTTATTTTATAGTTTTTTATGAAATTAGTATTATTTAGTTTTTGAAATTTGATAGATAATTAATTACTTTCTTTACTAGAAAAAAACAATACAATAATTTATTTGTAATTTATTAATAAATATCAACAAAAATTTAAATAAAATATGTTTTTTCTTGTATAATTTTGAAATTTTATTTTAATTTGAAAGTTCTTAAATAATACAAAAGTATTAAAAAAGAGTTTTTTTGTTTATTTTGTTTGTATTCATTTTTTCTATAATAATTTATTTATTTTAGTTAATCTTGTCAAAATAGCAATTAAGTTTAAATCAAAGTAGAATTTAAATTTATAACAATAAAAGTAATAAAGACATTTTCTATATTTATTTATTTATTTAGCTTATTTGTTTTTACATTTTGATGCATTATAGTTATAGATATATTAGCAAATAATACTATGGAATATAACAAAGAAATTAAATTTTACAACATTAAATATCACAATTACTTTTTGGTACTAGATTTACTAACAATTTATGAGACAAAAGAAATAACCACTATCCTGTTTAAAGGATGGATATTTATATAATTAAAGTGCAAAATTAACTATATTGAGGGAATTTACAAAATTAATTGGGTTAGATATGATAATTAAATGAATTCACTATTACAATCAAATTATTCTTATTAGTAAATGCACAAAATGTGCGTACAACATTCGATTATTATTATTATTTGACTGCCTATAAAAAAATCTAAAAAACAGCGAATTACTATTTGGTATTTTTTGATTATTACTTTTTGCTTATAAATAAACAATCAAATTATAAGATAATTAATTAATTAATTAAATATAAAAATATTAATTAAAGAAAGTTTAGTAAATACTTGCTTATTAATTTTTCTGATATGGCTGGAACTTGTTTGAAAACAATTCTCGTAATTTGTGCTTTGGTCACAATTGCTGCTGGTGGAGTAGGATTATATTTCACCCTCACATAATTAAATGGGTATAAAGAATTATGGTCCTAAGTAAATCCTGATGTGGATAAATATGCTATGTATTCGTTATGTGGATTCACAGGAGTGACTATTTTAACAGGTTTAATCAGTTTGATTGGTGTTCTTAAAAGAAATAGATGCTTACTCCTTATATTTAACATTCTCGCAATCGTTTTGTTGGGTTTATTCGTAGCAATTGGAGTTTTTATCACTATTTATACCAACAATCAGTTCTAAGATATTAAAAACATCACTAACTGCAATAATGCTCCTAGCGATTACAACTGGTTATAGTAATCAAATGAATTTTACTAAAAGGTTGGTATCTTATTTTGCACATAACTATGTAAATGCTATGTTTAAAATGTATAAGACTTCCCTCCCTCAACTTTTGACAGTAAATTTTATTAAAATTCTCATCTTTATTCGTTTTAAAACCATTAAATTAGAAATAATTTAAAAAAAAAAAATATGAAAAAAAAAGATATTTTTTATGGCTTAGAAAAGCAAATAAATAAATAAATATATTTCTCAACTAAAATATTGTTTTTTTAATGAAATTGATTGATAAAATTAAAAAAAATGAATTTTGTATAAAATTAATAAATGATTTTAATTAATTAATATGTAGATAAATCTGTAGCAACTATTCCTAGTTAAGGTACAACTCAAATCTAAGTGTGTCCTTATGCAAAATAAGAAACTTAATACGACTAATATCTTTCCTTAGTCTAATTCCTTGAAAATAAATTTGAATGCTCAGGTATCTGCGATCCTGTTCCTTATTACGTCTTCACTGACATTAATAGAGGTCCACCTACTTATACTAGCGGATGCAAGCAAAGAGTTTAAGACTTTTTTGAAAAGTATGGTAATATAGTTAGAGTAGTGGCTTTTTCAATTGGTGGTTTCTTTTTCCTTTAAATTATCTTAGCTATTTGGTTGTGTTGCATTAAAAAATCAAATGGAGAAAACGACTACTACTCCAGATTAGCTTAATATTGATCCTGATTAGTTTTTGTTATAAAAGAAATATATTTTCTTTAAATTTTAATAAATAGAAAATCTAATAATTTCTCAATTCTATCATTTTTAAGTACAATTCTAATAGAAAGAGAAGCACTATTAATAATTTAACCACCTCTCAATCTACTACATGCATAAATAAAACTCTAACTATATGTTTTCTTGTTAAATAATCTTTAAAACAATACATTTATTTAATTAATAAAATATTCTAAATTGATTCAATTATTTCATTTTTATTCTACTAACAGATTGAATATTTATTTTGAATACTTTTATTTTCTATATTGATCAGTCTGAATCAAATTTTAATCTTAATAAACTAAATTGTTATTATTAACTTAATCTCTTTCAAATAGATTAGAAACATATTGATTTTATCCTATTTTTTAGAATTGATTTTTAAAAATAAAGTTTTAAAGAGTTTTTTTATAAACAAATCATCAAAAAAACATTATTTACTTTAAACAAACAAACAAACAAATAAGTAAAATTTATTTATTTATTAAATAAAACTCTTCGAGTATTTCAAAGAAAGCGATATATAATAAATATTTAATCTAAAAATAGAAATAATAGTGGTATTTTGTAAGAGTATAAAATATATTCATTCATATCTGAAGATTGAAATATCAAATAATTTAATTAATTATTTAGATTAATATGAAAGTATAATTTCATAATATCTATAAAAATGATTGATAATTTAAATAATAAAAATCTACCATAATTACAAAAAATTCAAATCTATATATCAATATATATATTAACCAATTATTAAAAAAATTACTTTAAAAATTTCAACAGATTTAGTTGAACTCAAAGGTATATGATATAATTAGCAGAGAATTAAACATTTTATAAATAAACATAGTAAACTAATATTATATTCTTGTAGAAGTAAGTAGATAGAGATGTACTAAATTGTTTAAAGATTATTTTTTTAATTCCATATGATCTATTTTACATTTAAAATTAATAAAGCGAATTATTTTAAAAATAATAAAATTATTAATGCTAAAGGGGAATGTAAAAATGTTATTTTTTATTTAACTACTACTAATGCTTTGCTGCTATATTGTAGATTTAAGGAAATTAGTTAAATTTAATTTTTAAAAATGAATAGACTAAATTACTAACTTTTCAAATGAGCCTTTATTAATTGATTGAACAATTAAATGAATTAACATTGAATGAAAGAATCAAGATTGATAGATAGATAAATAGATAGATAGATAGATAGATTTGATAGAAAAAAAAAGAAAGAAATTTGGATTCTTTGGAAAATCTTAACCAGAAATAATAAATTAATTAATTATTTATTTAAATAAACAAATAAATATAAATTAAGGCAATAGTTAATAGCAGAGTTATTGATATTTACATAGTTTTAGAGAATCATTTTTTAGATACGTTCATAGTAAAATGTATACGATTATAGCTAGAGCAAAAAATCTCAAAGGTAGAGATTAGAAATTACCCAGATTGCTAGTCACTGGTTGTGCAGGCTCAATAGGATAGATGATGGAAAACGTTTTTATGACTATTTTTGATTACGATTTAGTTGGAGTTGATAGAAGTAATAGAATTCAATACAGTTTTCCACTCAAGGATGATATTTTAGGGTCTCAATACCACAAATTTGATTATATCTATTAAAACGAAGAGTTTTGTAAAAATGTTTTGAGTGATAAATTGATTGAGAAAGTGGCTCACTTGGCAGAAGTTTCAAGAGAAGAAGCCAATCACGATTATAATCTAGCCAAAAAATATAATGTTGAAGGAACTAGGCTTCTTGTTTAAAATATTAAAGATCACTGCGATTTAAGCAAAATGCACATCTTCTTCAGATCAGATATGAGTGTCTATGGTGACAGAACTGATAATCCTTTAATTAAGGTCACTGACACTCCAAAGCCTAATCCTCTCGATTACTATGCTCTCACTAAATTGGAAGCTGAAAACATTATTAAAGAATCTGGTATTCCCTACACAATTTTGAGATTCGCACCCATTTGCGGTAATACTTTATAGCTTTAAGCCAAAACTTTTAAACACATCAAATTGTTCTTTCAAAATCTTATTAGAAAAATGATTTTAGAATAGAATAAAATTTTTTTAAAAGAAATATATTTATAGAATTATTTATTTATTTTAATCTGAGCTATTCATAATAAAGACAAATCTATCTAATTAAATAAATAAATAATGAAATTTCTGCTTATCTATTTTTTATTTATATGAAATTTATTATATTTATAGATCATTTAACATAGTGGGTAGATCTTCATCCTAGTTACTTTTATTTCGGATTGGATTAAAAAATAGAATGGATTACTGCTAGAGATGCTGCTAAAGCAATTAGATAAGGTATTTATAAATCAAATCTAATTGATAAGTAAACTTATAACATTGGTGGTGGCTCTAAGTTAGTTATGAGACATAGAAATTTCATGAAAGAACTTCTTAATGCCAGAGGTGTTATGATTGAGAATACTATAGATTTAGATCCTAGAGCTTTCCCTAATGTTAATTTATATGGTGGTATTTATGAGGATTCAGATTATTCTAATAGTGTTTTAGGTTATAGAATGCAACCCATCGACACAGCATACTTGAGATAATTATATAGATATCCCTTCTTTATGAAATGGATCAATAAGCGTATACCCTATAAATATATTATTAATTAGCACTACAAAACTTCTGACATTTTCTAGTCAGTTCTCAATGAAGATGACGAATTCGTATCTATTTATTTTGATAAATCCAAAGTTTTACCAAAAGACAAGGCTCTTGAAAAATTAGAAAATGAATTAGCTGTTGAATAGGATGAAATAGATCTTTAAAAAAGGCTATTAAGAAATGCCCAAAAGAAAGCTAAAGCTGACTTTATTGAAGCTTGTAAATAGAGAGACATTAGGGAAGCCATCGAAAAGAAATGGCGTATAAAGAGATAAGAACTCATTGCTAATGGTTTAAATCCTGAATCAATTAACTTAGATGAAGTAGAAAAACTTGAAGCTGAAGACTAACTGAGAAGAAAGGAAGCAGGAGAAACAGAAGAAGAGAAAAAAGAAGAAAAGACAGAATTAACAGAAGAAGAAAAGTAAAGATTATAAGAATAGTTAGAAGACGAAGAAGAAAGAGAAAAGTCTTTTAACTTTTGAGTCAGTTATTTAACTTGTAAATTTGTAAATTACCCTTATCTCTCTCTCAATCTCTCTCAACTAATTGTAGATAAGTAAAAGAAATAAATAAATAAATTAGTAAATAAATAAACTAAAGAGTAAATAAAGATATTTAAATAATAATTATTAAAAAGCAAACCATTAAAGAAAGAGCATATGTGTAAGTTAGTAAGTAAGTAAGTAAATAAGTAGTATCATCACTTTATAGCTTTCTTAAATAATCAAAGAAAGCTAGCAAAATAAATAAATAAACAGACAAAACAAACAAATCATTTTTTATTTATTGCTAGTAATATTTAAAATAAACTATTTAGAAATAAATACCAATCAATTTGATAAAAATAAATAAAAAAAGTAATTTAATATATTTATAATTCCTTAGTAAAATCCATTTTATTTTTAATGTAATATATCTAATCTAATCCTTTTAATTAATAATAAGGCTAGACAGACAAATATCATTTATTAGTATTAAAATTATTATTATTTTCTTATTGATATTTTTATTTCACTTTTAAAATAAAAAAATTTGTAAATTAATTTTTAGATTTGGAAAAAGCAAAAGATTATATTCCAAAAATTAGTCATTTTAAGTCTAAAATAATTATTTATTTCAATCATTTAAATCATCTGGAGGGCAGATCAAAAATATTCATCCCTTCTCTAGCTTTAGTTTATGGTTAGATGCTTTCAAGTTCACTAAGGGAGTTTATTTTTACCCTGCTTGACTATCTTGTTTATCTTTTTCCTTGAATAGTTTAATTTCATTTATTATATATATAAGAAAAAGTGAACTACATCACACCTGTCCTGTGTGCACTATTTTAAAAAAAATTATTCTCTTTATTGATAAAGTTGTTCAATTAATATTTTTTATGTTTCCTCTCACTGGGTTAAACTATATAGCATATAGATTTAAGTAATTTATTCAAAGCAAAATTATTTTGTAAAAAAACATTGTTGTTTGAAAAATTGAAAAATAAACATACATAATACATAGAAATATATATGAATAATTTATCTAATAGAAATATTTTAAACTAGTTTTTATTTGTAATTTTTGTTAATTATATAAAATATTTATTTTAATTTATTTAGTGATTTCTTTACAAAGTAAAATTGAATAAATAATATTTTAAGCTCAAACTAATTTTGATAGTCTTTAAGAATTTTATAAAATATTATTATCTCATAATTCAATAAATTCTATTTTATATTTTTAATGGTCATTTATAGTAATATCTTTATTTACATCATTATCCATCGTTTCATCATGTTAACCGTATTCAGTTAATTGTTCATCTTTTTATTATGATAAATTATTGAAATCTTCTTCTTCTTATTTAAATATATTATAATTATTTTCGTTGTTTTGGCTAGGAAAAGGAATGCCAAAATCTGCTTCAGAGCTCTCTATTTTTAAATATATAAAAAATGATTAATCTATTGATATTTGCAAGTAATGAAAAATGAATTTACATCTGCTTAGAGCTCTTAGATTCTAAGCGTTTAATTTAGAATTATTTTTTGATTAGTTTAAACTTTTATTGAATAATATTTAGCTATTTAATTCTTATTTTTTAATTCTTTTTGACTTAATTTAACATTTTTATTGAATCCTATTTTATTTCTTGATTTATTTGAATTTTGTCTCATATTTAGACAAAAGCTATACTAAGCTGCTAACCAAATTTTAATTCTAGTTGCTAAGCAAGGATTTTTGAGTTGTTAGAACTATTTCGCTTTACAAAAAGCTTATTATTTTTTCCATTTTTTCCATTTTATTTGCAAATCTTCTTCTACTTATTAAGCACTTTTTTTAATTATGTTAATTATTAATTATTTTAATAGAAATAGAAAAATAGCTTTGTAAATATTATTTAATTAATGATGGCTTATTAAATCTGAAGCAGTTCTCTACAATAAAAATTTTTGAAATAATTGGCTTAAGCACAAACAACAAAGAATTTGCACAAGCAAGATACATTAACAAAATATACAAAATTATTAGCAAACTAATTAATTAATTAATTAATAAATTTATTTGTTTATTTGTTTGAATCTAAATATAATTTTAAATCATTCTATTAAATTATCTTAATTTCTACATTTATTACTTATTCTTGAAAGAATATGAGTATTTTTAAAAATGAAGGTTTTGCCATACTTGCTGCTATAGGGATGAGCTTAGGAGGATACTTGTTCTATAAAAATACTTAAAAAAATCAAATAAAAGAAGATGAGGCTAATTAGGAATAATTAGACGAATTAATTGATAGATAAAGAATGTTAAATATATTGAATTCAATAAGATATAAAATGAAATATTATCATAGATTGGCTTAAAGTGTTAACAGATAAATGGAAGGAAAAACTGAATAGTTTAAATAAACCGCTCGTCAACAGTTTTTTGAAAAATTTACATAAAATGATTACAAAATAATAGTGAAGAATATTTGTTAATACGAATATGGTGTTTCTTATGAAGACTTCAGCGATAGTCTAGAGTATTACGCTTATAAAAAAGACGAAGAGATAGTTAAAATAGATGACTTGATAGAAAATGAGTTTAAATAAAATCTTTAAGGTATTAAAACTGTTTTATCACCAAGCAATTATCTATTGACAAATATTGATAAGTAAACTGCGAAAGAAATCTTCAAAGAAATTTATTGTTTTAAATTCTACTTAATAGTGTAAAAAGTTAAAGAATATCTTAAAACTAATACTAAAATAGTTGAAAACGAAGATTTTTATAAGCAATTTGAGAACATTTACAAGATTATCGACGATAAATTGAAAGAGTTCTTGCTTATCGATTAAATCGATGCATAAAATAGAAACTTTAATTGTTTCTTTGAATTATTAGTTTATTATTGTGAAGATGACCTTAACTACTCTCATTTTATAAGAGAGATGGAAATTTAGTCCATCCTTCTTTTTGAAAGAATCCTTAATCAAAATGATGATATTGACCTTAAATACATAAAAAACTAGTTTAAGAATCTTTGAACATGCAGGCTATGCATGGTTAAATTATTTATTTATTTATTATTTGTATCAATCAACTAAAATCGCATAGCAATTATATTATAAACAATATTTCCTATAAACACTGTTATATCAATTAATTTATTTGATCTAAATTAATTATTAATTATTTATATTTTAAAAAATCAATTTAATCATTTTTAATTAAATTTAAGTTTAAGAAATTAGCTTAATCATTTTCATACTTTAAATAATTAAATTATGTTTAAAATAAAAATATATTATTATAATTCATTCATTCAAAGAATAATATTGGTAGTAAATTTAGGCGCTAAGAATCTGAAAAATTGGAATTGAATAGATTTTGTTAAGCTTCAAGAAGAGTGTATTAGTGAAAATTTATGAATGATTAAATGTGCCAACTCATATTCTTTGTTAAAAATTTAGTGATATTTTAATAAAAAGTTTGGGATTTTTGATATATTTTAAATTTTGGCTAATAAAATATAATAGTTGATTCGTTTGTAGATTGTTAAATCCATTGATTATATACATATAGAGCGTAGACAGACAGACAAACAAAATTTAATTAAAAAATTTTTATTTGTTTAAAAAAACATAAAATTAATAATAATAGCAAAATGGATACTCAAATATTAGGATAAGTTAACTTATGCAAGGAAAAATTAACTTAGGAAGGATCTCCTTTAGAGACAATTATAGAATTGAGGAAAATGACTTCAAAGGAAGTCAGTCCTCCTCTTTAAGAGATAATATAGTCAAATGTTTGCACTTAGCTAATAGCTATAATGGACAACACCACAAGCAATGAAATTATCTTGGAATCACTTTGGATTCTCACTAATGTGTGTTCAGGCAGTAGCAGTTAGACATAATATGTTATAAATATTGGCGGTATCGCTACTTTCTTAAAGTACGTCTAACATGAAAGCGAAGATATTATGGCTCAAGCTCTTTGGGGTTTAGGTAATGAACAAAATAGATTTAATCAAGATAGATATTTATAAATTATTTTTTTTTTGTATGAATTTATTATTAATTTTTGGTATTAATTATTTATTATTTTAGGAAATATTGCTGGAGATAGTAGCAGCAGCAGAGATTAAGTGCTCAAATAAGATGCTGTGACAATTGTTCTCAAATAATTAGAAAGAAAAGACATTAAAATAGTCAACTAAAGAACTATTGTTTGGGTTATTTCTAATTTTTGTAGAGGAAAGCCTTAGCCAAAATACGAAATAGTGCGTCCTTGTGTATTTTATTTGGGTAAAGCTTTAGAGAAATACAAAAATGATCCAGAGATTGTTGCTGATTCTCTATGGGGAATAAATTATCTCAGTGAAACAGAGCTAGCAATTGATGATTTAATAAATTATGGAATTTTATAAAATATATGTTAACACTTCTTGAATTTTAATTCAACCTCAACACTAACACCTGCAGTCAGAATTATAGGTAATGTGGCAACTTCTAGAGATAATTATGTTGATATTCTCCTTTAATAGAATATTCTCCAACCGTTGATACAGCTATTTGTTCATGATAAAAAAGCATACAGAAAAGAATCTCTTTGGACTGTTTCAAATATTATGGCTGGAACTTCTACCTAGGTTTAAAAGGTTTTAGAGCAACCAAATTTCTATCAGAATTTAATAAATAATGTGGGTTAATAGCTAGATATTAGAAAAGAAATGCTTTATGTCATGTCAAATGGTTTAGGTCACTCTGCAGCCTGTTCTTTTTTCTTAAAAAATGGCATCTTATAAGTGTTCTTTGAACAATTTGAAGAAGGAGATTCTAAAATGAAAATGGTTATTTTAGAAGGGCTTCAGCTACTCTTGAAATATGTTAATAAGAATAAGAAAGTTTACCCCGTTTTAAACGGAAAGCTCCAATATCTTAAGAGTATTGCTACAGAAACTATTTATTCAAATATGGCTGATAAGTTAAAAGCTGTTTATAAACTCTTGAGAAATTATGAAAAAATAAATCCTCCTGTAGATGCAATAAATAGCTAACTTGAGAACTTGAAAATAGACGAATAACAATAAAGATAAACTGAAAGCTCTTACGAAACTATTGACAATGAAGAAGATGACGAAGAAGACATGGATGAAGAGTTTGAAGATTGCGAAGATATTGACGAAGAAGAAGAGCAATAAAATGATGAAATATAAAATAATTTGAATAAGCAAAAAGCACAAGGAGCAAATGCAAAAGGTAATTAAGAGTATGAAAGCATTTAAAGTAATGATAAAGACTTTTTGGGAGCAGCTGCAGGTCCAGCAGCTCCTCCAAATTTAGATTAGCTCGAATATTAATATACAGACGAATAATAATAGTATATGTAGGCATAGGCTGGTGCTGCACCAGGTCCATGAAATAAGAATTAATTAATTTTTTTGTATATTCTTCTATAAGCAAACTAATAATGAAACATAAATCAAATTATTTATCAATCAATCAATCGATCTATCTATTTATTTATTAATTAATGCATTTACCAAATTAATTTTAAAATATTTAAATAAAATTCTAAATCTAAAATTTATTTATTAAAAATCATTCTTTTTGTAATAAAATTCCTTATATATTTAAAAAAAAAGATATATTAAAACAATAAATAGTGGATAATTAATTGTTCATTTTTTTATATCTCTATTCTAATTAATTTTGAATCTATTCTTATTAAAATTGAATTATAATTAATTAATAAATTAAACTTATCTAAAAAGTAAATAATTTATTTATTGATAAATATTTATCTTAATTGAATAAAATCATCTATAATTACGATTTAATTTGTTTAAACTATCATTTCAATTCAAAATAAAAGTATCGTTTTGCTTGATGTTTTTAATAAAATTTTAAATTACCTATTGATTTAAAAAATATTAATTATTTTTAGAAGTAAGAATTATTTGAGCAAAGTTAAAAAGATTAATCAAAAATTTATTAATCAAAATAACATAAAATTAATATCTAAAAATATGAATGACCTAACCTAAACTTATCATTTTCATATTTTGATATTTTTATTATTTTATAAAAATTTATGAATTAAATTAAATAATTGATGCACATTTTTAATTCTAATAATTAATTTAATTTTGAATTTAGAATTAAGTTTAAAGTAATTTTCAATTAAGAAAGTAAAATCAAAATATTAAATAATTGCTAAAATAATATAAATTTCGATTGTTTGTTTTAGATGGAAATATATAAATTAGTGTTTATATTGACCAACTAATAATCTTGAAATATCAAGAGTTATATAAATAATTATTTTTATACTATTGGTTATATGTAGAATAATTTATGTGTTATTATTGCTAATTTTAAGATAAAAGTATATTATTTGAACCATTACTATTTACTTAATTTTCATTTTGTTCATCATCTTCATTTGATTATTCTTATATTATGCTGTTGTCTTATAGGTTTTTATAATGGGTTATAGTAGAGGTTGTGTGATTTATACTGAGGGAAGTTGTTATCTCATTTATATAGGGTTGCTGTTATTGTATTTAAAAGTATTGCTGAGGCTGCAAGTGTGACAACTCACTTATAGTTTCATATTAATTTTCATCATTTTAGTTATTGTTTTCAGAAATCTACTTTGAGGCTTCTTTTTGGAATTCTAGAGATTATTTTAAGAGTTTTTATTGTTCTTCTTGATTCTTTTCTATTTCGTTTGTAATCATTTAAACCTCTTCAGCTTGTTTAAGCATTTCTTCAATTGTAATTGATTGCATATATAAGGCGTACAGATAGTTATCTGGAATATCATCCATCCTTGGCTATGTATCATAAAATTAAATATTTTCTTATTATATTTTTTAGCTCATTTAGTCATTTTCAAAGTCAGAAGCACCATTGCCGCTCTTTCTGCCTATCATTAAAGAGTCAATTGTTTATTTTTATTTTTAATTTTATTCTTTGAGTTCATAGTTTTCTCTCATTATTTTGCTAAGTCTTGTATGCATATATTCAGACATTGATTAAACACCCATATTTTCAAGAACGTGCAAATCATTTAATAAATTACTTTCACTTCTTTTTTTCAGATCCTTGATATTTTAAATAAAAGCAGAATCCTAAGAAATCCTTGAAAATTATTCTTCAAAAAAAGGAGACGTATTTGCATCAATGCTTTTGGCAAAATTTTTACCAAGCAAATCAAACTTTCCTCTTCTCTTAGCAGTAAGATCAGGCGATTGATTGAAATCAACAGAAGTAACCCCATAATATTTAACTATGTTTTCCCTATTATTATCTAATTTTTACCTAATAAGCCTATAATCATCTAGATCATTGATTTCCAATAATAAATCATTCAGGTAAAATGCTATGTTCAAGTATTACTCTGCTTTTTCACTCAATTCTTGTATCTTTTATTCCTTTTCTTTAATTAATTCGTTAAGTTGCTTTTCCTTTTCTTCATTTCTGAGTTTCTTTTTTATAATTTTATATGAAATTACATTAACTAATATTCGAATTACTTACTCATTTATGAAACAATTTAAGTGAAAAAAAAAATAATTTATAAAATACAAATCAAAAATTTAATTATTTTATATGAAATTCTAATAAGTTGTTTTACTTGCGTTTAAGTGGTGTTCACTTTCTAATACTAATTCGCTAGAACTTATTCTTATTTAGAGCTTGTTTATTTTGAAAGAACTATATTAGAAAGCTCTTTTATTGCATAATTAGGTGCGTTAATATCAACTTTTGTAGTATTTATTTTATTTTGAGGTTAGATTTCTACAAGTTATTTTTCTAAATTTTAAATTGTATTTTAATGCTATTCTAGCTACATCAAGAGATTAATCTATTTGCTTTCATGTTCTTTTTTGTTTTACTCTATTATATCATCTAAAATATCTTTTTATTTATTTAGTTCTTTTATCGAGTCATCTTTTTATGCTAAAACCTTAATAACTGGTAACTAATCTAGCTTTTCATCACTAAGTTTCTAATATAATTAATTGACCTTAAAGTTTAATATTTCAGTAAGAGATTTACTATCCGATTTATGCTAGTTTACTGATTTAATGAGCAAATCATTCTTCTTATTTAATGCTTCATTTTCCTCTGTCAATTACTTTATTGCCTTATGCATTTCGATGATTTTCTTCAAGTTAATTTTCAAACTTTCAGGACTTTCTCTGCTTTCTACTAAGTTTTTAAGATGAAACTCATATTCATCACTTTTAATTTTGAGTTAATCGATTGCTTTCTTATTCAATATTTCAGAATATTTTAGTTTTTCAATGCTTCTTACTTTTTATAAAATTTACTGTTAATGTTCCTCGAACAGTTAAGATCCTTCATACATTATGTCAGCTTAATTCAAGTTGGAATCTTACATGCCATTTGGAAAGTGATTTTAAATTTCAGCAATATTGTTTAATCCAATTGTTTTTAATGCGATTTCATTTTCAATTAATGTATTTTCTAGTGCACTTGTCTATTGATTTAGTCGTTAGATTAAATTTTAAATATTTTCTTGTATTTGTTTATTAAATTTGGTTGTACTTTCTTAATCTTGCAGCTGACTCAAAAGCTACTAGGTATTAATAAAGAGTAATTTGCTCTCTAAAAAAAATAAATTGTTTTGACCTATGACATTTTTTATTTCTCGCAAGTCATTGTTATTCTTTATTCTGATTATATCAAGCTAATAATTTTGAAATTCTATCACATCTTTTTAACTTTTTATTTCACTCATCATCTTTTCTTCCTTTTTTTACAACTCAAAAAACTTTTGAGGCTTGTTTCCATTTACTTAATCATACAACTCAGACTATTCAGATGGTAAAAATTATATTTCTTCCAACTTGTGCACTTTGAATTTTTTAAATTTTGCTAAATTTTTAGCTTTAGTGTTGTATTTAGAAAGTTAGCAGTTTTTAGAAACATCCCCAAAGTAGATTCCAGCAGCTTTCAGCTTTAACGCCTTCAAATTGAGGAGCTTTTTATTATTTTCAATTATTTTCAAAATCTTTTCAGTAACTTATGTCTCCTTGTATTGCATATTATTTTACATTACTAGATCATAGCTTGGCTGTGTTTGTTCTTAATATTTACTGATGAAATTTTCATTTTGTGTTTGATTTTAAGTTTGTAAAACAGATTAATTAGATTTCAATGGACTTCCATGTTTTTGTTGAATCTCTTCAATTATTTATTTCTTCAGTTCTCTTTATTTAGTAGCTGCTTGTTAACGAAAGTGTCTCAAAGAATTTTGCTTATTTTTACCTGTATAAAGAAGGTTAACCTAACTTAGAACCTGACTTTATTCCATTTTAATTTAGTAATTACTTCTAACTACTATTCAAAACTCACTAACTAACTAACTAAATAATTAAGTAAGTAGATTTAATTAAAACTAAAGTAAATTATGTAAGATAACTAAAATCTTTATCTGATTAAAATAATTGCAACATGAATCCAATAAAATATAAATTAGTAAAATTCAAAAAATAATATGAATAATTGTTGTTTATGATTAATAAATAAGATATAAAATAAATTATTATTAAATAATCTATTTTAAATAATCAAAACAAGCTAAAACTAAAAAATTCTATATTGACTTAATTATTTATTTTCTAGTGAACATTCATTCATTTTTTGGCCTTTCATTTTTAAAATTAAATAATATCTGTTATATTCATTTAAGTTTTCAAAATGATCAAAACTAGCACAAAGCCATATTTATTAATTTAAAATTGTATCTAATAAATTTAAATAAAATAGAAATAAAGCTTATTTTTTTATCTTTTTTAAAAAGAAATTTTGAATTTAATAAATAGTAAGTGAGCATTATTACTTAAATTATTATTACCAAACTATTTTAGCAAACATTATTAATAATTTTACTCAGCTTAAATAAAAAAATATTTAAATGGTTTAATTAAGTTAGTTAGATTACATTTTAATATTAAAACAAGAAGACGTTTAATTATCAATTTATTTATAAATTCTTTTTTGGGGAGCTTTTTAATTCCAATCTATAAAAACCTTATATTTATTATATATATGCTCAATCTTTATCAAATAGAAGCACAAATAAAATTCGAGAAAACAACTAAACCTTTTGTATTGCTTCTTCTTTAATTTTTCCTTTTTCTTCTTTGTCAAATAGCCTCAGCCTTTTTAAAAATTTTTATCAATTAATTATAATTATCTCCTCTTACTAAAAATCAAAAGCAAAAAGCAAAAATGAAATTTGAGGTTTTGCCTATTTTAAGAGCAAATTATTGTCTCTTTGTTTCTGCATTTATCAATGAGTATTGCATATTTATTAACTCATGTCTTATAAATTAAAGAATGCTCCAATTATATTTAATTATTTGTATTTATGGTATAATTAAATTTATGCATGTATGATTATAAAGTTTTAGCTGAATAAGCACATAAATATAAAAATGAATGATACCTTAATTAAATATATTCTTTTACGTTTGTTTGACCTAAACTAAGAAAAGTAATAGTGAATCAAAAAAATGCTATATGGATCTATATCGTATGATAAGTGCTAGTAAATTTAATTTATTAATTTATGAGTTCAACTATTCTTTATTAAATATAATTTTAGATCATAACCTCAGTAAATTAATCAAAATTAATAAGCATCAAAATTTTTAGGATAAATTTAGCATATCTACACATAATCGCATATTGTTTAAACAAATTAAAACATTTATATGATCTTTCTTTAATGAACTATTTTGCATTTCCTTTTGGTATTTATTAAGAATATTGCGTTCATAGCGTAGTATATTTAATAAATTAAGGTAATTCTTCGAAATAAAGAAATAAATTAGACACTTTTTTAATGAAAGTTAAACTAATTAAATTTAACTTTATCCTATTATTTGATGAATTTGGGGGGATATTTTGAATGAAGATATTTTCATCTGAATTAAAGAATTCATACATAAAATTGGTTTTAGATTACATTTTAAGAAAATATTTTTAAAGTTAATGAAGACTTTTAAGTTAATTTGTTCTCTCGACAGTAAAATATAAATTAAATATTTTTAAATTTACTCCGCTGATTAAGCAAATAATTTGAAAAATATTATTTAATGATAACCTGTGTAATGTTAATAACTCTAAAAGAGTAAAGCATATTGTTTTCAAGCTACAAAGCTAATATTTAAAAATGATTGATATTAAGCAAAGTGACTGTTTTTATAAATTCTTAAAATTATTATCATTAATAAAGAGAATGAGGAGAGAAGAATAAAGATTTTCTATTGAAAATATCAAAAGAAAAAAGGATTGTTCATTTACTTTTTGATTGGCTATGAATGACATATTACATACAACTTTAGAAAAAATAATTAAATAGGTCTTTAAAAAAATTATATTTTAGTAATGTAATTAATTTTAGTGATTTGAATTATTTTGAGCATAAATCTGCTTATTTGATCAAAATTGTATACGCGCTGTATTGGTTAGTTCTAAATTATGGTATGAAAGCGCTGAATTTATTAATTAATTATTTTTAGGTAATAAATAATCAATTACAATTAATTAATTGGTCCTAAAACATTAGATTACATTACTAAGTATTGATTGATTTAATATTATTAGGTAAAAGTTACTTTAAAATATTATGGATTAATTACAAATTATCATCATAGAACAATTAAAACATTTAAGCTTTTCTCACTTATTTTTATAATTAAAATATTATTGAATTAATTTGAATAATTTGAAAGAAAAAGAAATTATGAATTAAAGTACTAAAATATCGCTCTTAGAGCATCTAAAACACTTTTACATTAACACCATTTACCAGATTGTTAAATAAGCCAGAAGGAATGCTAGTTTTTCTTTGTTTTGCTATTTTATCTATTAACTAATGCTTATCCAGCTACAAGTAGATGATACTACTTATTCCAGTTTAACTTAGGATGATAAATCGCTTTCTGAAGTTTTAAAATGGCTTTTATTCCTAAAATCTAGAGTAAATACTCCAAATATCTAGATTTATTTCAAGTGGTCAATCTATATTTCATTCTCATTAAACTGCTTTATATTCATTTTTATTTTTCTTTGTTTCATTTTCAGTAAGAAAATAAAAAATGGATCTTTTTCAATGCTTTCTCATCTGTTTCAATATTATGAGTATTTGGTGATGATTCCATCTATATACATCTCTACAGTCTACTATAAATACTATTTGACCTTCATTAACATTTTATTGACTATTTTTATAGGTATCAAATCATTCATCATTAATTATAATTCTTGATTAGTAAGTTATTTTTACATAAAAATAGGATCATTGATTATTTCTGTAGATTATGACTACTCTTTTTAAAATGATGATATACTGTAAAAGAGTGATTCCCCTTTAAATTTATTATCTTTTTACTTAGATACCATTATTTGTATAGCGAGTTGCTTTTTTGGAATCTACCCTCTATCACTGATATCATTTATAATAAATGCTATTAAATTATTTATTATTTTAAGAACTCATGTATACGCAAACAAAGACATCTGCAGATGGTCAATTATCTCTATTTTTTTCAGGATCAGTTTAACTTTTTGCTTGATTTTCTACAGATGGAATGAGAATAAAATGAATTTTTTCTACCTACTTTTAATTATTATGCTCACTTTTAGCTATAAACTTGGAAATGTATTTTTTATGGATTGGTATACCTTTTTAAACTTAGATAGCACTGAGGGATAGACTTAATTAATTAGCACGAATTTCTTTTAATACGCTTTAGGAAATAGTAATAAAAAACTTGATATATTTTGTAGACAGCTGGTAGAAAGCATGAGAGAAAAAATAAACATTACCTAGCAATTTAAGAATTCTGAGATGGTATTTGCTCAATAAGCTTCTTTTTTAAGCTATTCTGACTTTAATAAAAACATGGTAAATTTAAATAAGTTAATTAATTAATTTTCACTTTCAATTTTACCAAAATCCCCACAATTAAATCTTATCCGATAAGCCTTACATATTTTTTTTAAAAAAAAATTAGTATATCAAATAGATGATTACTTCAAAAATTTTGGGTGGTTAAGACACTTAATTAGATGAATAACAAAATTAAGATGATTCAATTTTTCTTGAAGCAGCTAACATAATTGCTGGGATGTACTAAGAGGCAATAAGAAGCAAAAATGCTAAAGACTGTCTTGACGAAATAGATTTTTCATATTTAACTTTTATTGCAACCATTAATAAAAACCCTTATGCTTCATATCTTAAAATCACTAACGCGAAAACAAATCCTAAACTAATATTAGGTATCAAAGATTAACAAAAGCTTCTAAATATAATGAAGAACGATGTAAGCTAATAAATTAAATTTTAGAACAGTTTAGAAAAAAACAAACACTAATTTAAGTTATATGATTTACTGCAATTAGAAGAAGAAATAGCAAGTATTTAATTCCTCTATTGTGAATGCTTGATTCTATACAAAACAATAATTTAAATAATGATGATGAAGTTTATTGAAATTAATTAATTGCGAGAAATGCTTTTATACTATATGGATAAACGAAACACATTAGAATCAAAAATATAGTAACAATTAAAATGCAATCATAATAGCGAAACACTTAAAAATATTTGTATAAATTTTGATTTCTATTTGCTTCATAAGAATAATTTGCTAGATTTTTATTAAAGATAAAATAGAAGTTATACTTAGCAGTTATAATATAAGGAGTATTACTATAAGTCAAGCTGCCTTGTGTATGTTTCATTATTAGACTAGTCATTCGGAATTGTTAAAAATGTAAATAGTTCTTTTTTCAAAAAACTTGGTTTCTTAAATAAATAATAAATTTAAGGCAAGTCTTTTTTTCAACTCTTCCCTTAAAATAACTAATCAGAACAATAATTATCATTGAGTTTTAAAAACAAACTGCTCTCGCCAATTATTAATAACAATATTTAAAGTGTTCCGTTATTTTTAGCTAAACATTAAACAGGATATTGTGTGCCATTTTAATTAAAAATTCAAAGCTAAATTCTTGATTAAGATTTTGGTCTATCAATATGGGCAAATCCTATTAAAGAAGATTCTATTTATTTAGCACTTGATAGTGAAAATCCAAATATTATTTAAATGGCAAATAAGTTCTTTTATAAAAAATTTTTAAAAGAAAACCACAAAATTTCTAAAATTAATTCAATCAAAACAGAGACTTTAATACCTATTATTCACCATCTAATCAAATAGGCCTAAAACTCAAAAGAACAAAAATTCTAAACAGTTTTCGTTAAACCAAATTAAATCTAATAATAAAAATATCATTTGAGTGACCCCAATTTCTTAAATAATCTAAAATACGCGGAAATATTTAGCGCAACAGTATCATTTTGTTTCTAAACCAAAAATAATTAATTTCAAACATGCACATACTTGATCATTGAGAAAATAATGCAATAAAAGTATTTAAATGAAAAAATAGGTTTGTTATCAATATATTAATAATAGATTTAAGAACTGTGTAATATAAATCTGCAGTTAAACACAGATTTCGAAGAAGATTATCGTAATAGCATAAAATCTATTATTTAAATCTAACAAGACGATGACTTTTCTAATTAAAATGTAAGCCAAATTTAAATTCAGAATCATTTAAGTCTATACAATGAGAAAAAATCTTCTACTAATATCTAACTTAGTACGCCAACAAACTTAGAATCACAATTATAATTAAATAATAAAGAACTCAGTCTAAACAATGAAAATATAAAGTTAAAATAGAATAGTAGTAGTAGTAATCAGATTCTTTTATTAAGTAACTCTCAAAGATACGACCAAGACTTATTACGCTTGAGTACTTCTAGAAGCAAAACTTAATTAATAATTTAGTAGGAATCATTTGATACATTCCAACAAAGCTATAATAAACAAGTAACCTTATAAGATTAACAAGTATTTTAATCAAGTATTATCAAGGAATAACTAGTAAAATTAAATCTATAAAAAGTTAATTCAAGTAAAAATATTATCTCTAATAATTTTAATTAACAATCTTCTAAATTGGTAATTGATTGCTTTACACCACGTTCAAGTAATCGTAAGCTAATTTAAACTACCATTTCTTCATAACAGGTTATAGAAAATGGAATATAAACAAATGATCAAAAATATCAAAACAAAAAGTGGCTGGAGGAGTAAGAAGAAAATAAGCAACTATAAAACATAGACATTTAGCAATTATCTTCTTCATCAAAGAGTTCTAAAAGCAAGTAAATTTATTAATAAATAAATAAATAATTTTAATTTTTAAAGATTGATTTTTAGAAAATAAAAATAATTTTATTTAATTTTTATCAATCATTTTCGAAATAATTTTTTACAGAAAAAGAGATAAGATAAAATAATTATCTAATTTAGACTTTATCTTCTTTTTGTAAAAATAATCGAATAAGAATGATATGTAATTCATTTTCAATTTTAGCTATGTAAAAAAATATTTGAGAATAATTTATTTACGATAAAATATACTTTACATAGTATATTTCTTTTAATAAGCAACTCCCAAACAAAATATTTGTAATAGAGGCATTTTATTCATGAATAACTGTCCTATTCAGTAATATTATATGATTGCTGTAATTGATATAGATCGAATTTAATTAACTTTTAAATACAATTTCTGAAATATTTTTTTTGCATACCTAAATGGTATTATTAATTTTTCAGTTTTGATACAATTTATATTAGCTTTTTATTGAATAAAAATAAATTGAATATTTTTAATTAATTAATTTATTTATTTAGGGAAATATTTGAGAATATGCACAAAAAAAAACAGATGTGGTACCTTACAGTAATTAATATTTTGGGAATAGCTTCTATTTTAGTAACTATTGCTTTGACTTTGCAAGGATTTTTTATTTTTCTTACAAGCTTAATCTCTCAAAGAGAAAATTTCAAATATATTAACTGGATCTATACTACTAACATTGAAATAAGCTATTCAATTTCTGAGCGCAATGTATTTCTCTTGAACAGATATAATTTAATGTCCACGCCTCCTTCTTAGAATTAGACTTTTGTAAATTATATACTAAATTCACTCCAACCAAGAATTAAACTTAGTAAAGAATAGGTTTAATTACTTTATAACAATACTGATAGTAAAATATAAGTCTTCAATATCATTTAAAATAAGTATATTGATCAATACATATATTCAAGCCCTAATGTTTCGCAATAAGTAAATCTATCCATTTTATACTCAATTCTCATATAGCTTTCAAATTTATACTACTTCGCTTCTAACAATGACCCTACTGGAATGATGAAAAAATAAAACGAGATGAATTTCCAAGCGATAAACTAACAAGTTTAAATAATTTTTTCTGAAATGAATGATTCATATGAAAATTAACTCACTTAAATATAAAACTAAAGTCTCCTCCAGCTTTACATAATTACTTTAATAATGCTGACGTTTTTGATAAGCAAAATTCCTAGTTTTATCTACTCCAAAAAAAAGGAGTAATAAATTTTAAAGCTTTTTGCAACATTTGATAGAGAATAACTAAGAGAAATCCTCACACAAATCAAGAATTAATTTGAACTTTACACATTTGATTAAAAAGCTAATTTTTCTAAATTTGATTTTAAATTTTCTCACAATTAAATGTTATAAAAACACTCTGTCGAAGAAAAAAAATTAAATATCAGCTAAACATCTACATTGCAATACTCGATAAAGAAACTGTTAATAGGACTAACAGTAACATTTTGCTTAGTAATAATTTATCCTATTTTAAATTATGTCATTGTGAGGCAGTTTATCGACAATTCTAGAGTCATATATAACTTTAACAGTAAATTTAATTTAATTTAATTTATTATAATAATATATTTATTAAACAATTTAATAATTAAATAAAAAATAGATGCCGTTTGTGTTACTTATTTTATAGTCCAAAATTCTTTAAGAGCAAGACATAGTCTTGCTATGGCATACCTTGTACCTTTTGAATAAGCAAGACCTATCCCATATTATCAAGATATACTATAATAATTAACACCATAAATTAAAGATTTGCCTAATTTGATAAAAAATAACTTAGAAAAAGTTAGCTCTACAAATTTGTATAATAAATAAATATTTGAGGATTACTTAGTGAATGTGTTTACATAAAATGCTTGCGATACTATTTAAGAATATACTTAGTATCAAAATGGTAACTTTATATATAACGAATGTACTACTTCGGGTAAAGGTTCTCTAAAATCAGGTCTTCTTAATGGTTTAATGTTTTTCTTCAACGTATACATGGATTACACTACTTTTGCGTTTAGTCCAGATGTAGCTACATTTTAAAAGTTTTATAATAATTATCATAAAAATATTCCAGCTTACAAGTAGTTTTAATTAAAATTAGAAGTATCAAAATATTTAGAGTATTTATTAAACTTCTTTTAAGAATAAAATATTTTGCTTTACGATTACTACGAGTAAATTAGCATAATTTTAGTGACAGTTCAAATCTGCATTATCGGAATAATATTCACAACAAGTTGGTATTTTTACTTTAAAAGCATAAATAAACAAATCTTCTAAACAAAATAATTATTAAATATATTTCCATATAAATATTTAAAATAAAATACTTACGTAATGTCCTTTTTAAATCAAAAAAGTTGATATTTCGTATCTATTTACACGTAAGTATATGTGTATATCCATATAGTAAGTATTAATTTTAATAAAAATTTGCATAAAATATACTTTATAAAGTATTAAAGAAACGTCAAAATATTTTTTACTCTTTAAGCGATTATTAAACTAATAAAAAATTTTAGATTAAAATTAAAATTAATTAAAAATAGAAGATAATATTATTTATGAATGTGTTATATCTATCTATCTACTGAAACTTTCAAAAATATTTGAAATCAAGAAAATTTATTATGCAATAAATAATATAAAAATACAATTTAGAATATTTACATTTAAATTTATTTCTAACAGATAAATAATATTTATTTCAGATTTAAATAATTTCTTAATAGTTCATTATTAAAGTTAATTAATATTTAGAATAACTAGCATATTTAGTTTTTTAAGTAGTTTATTTCTAAGAATTGTCTAAATATTTGTTTCACTTTAAATTAAAATAATAGTAATTAAATAATTTTCAATAATATATGTATGTATTCATTCGTATATATTTGTCATAATTAATTATTTTTTATTGAAACAATATTTTAAAATAATTTTTAAGAATAAATAATATTACTCAATTAACAATGTTAATTAAACTAAACTTTTATTGTTAGATAATTCAGTAGCAAACTTATACAGTCCTTAGTGATTTATTTAGTTTTCCCTAATTAAACCAAAAAATAAAATTAATTATTTTATTTTAAAAATATAATCATTAATTAATATACTATGAAATTCAATTATAAAACAACTAAATTAATAATTCTTAAAAGCTGATAAAATTTAATAAAATTATTTAGCAGATTTACGAAGCGAATCATTTAAATATAGGTGGAATTTTATTCAAAATATTAAATGAAAATTAGAATAAACTACATTTTTTAAAGAGGTAATAAAGTAAGAATATAAAAATCAATAAAAATAGATATTTTTCCTAAAATTATACCTAAATTAGTTTTTTTTATTTATTTGGCTTGTCTGAATTTAATATGAAAATTAATAAATAAAGTAAAATAAATAATTTAATTAATTTATATAATTTATTTAAAACTAAATTATAGAATATTACTGTATCTGCAAGTTTAGTATCTTGAGATTTGAACACTCTGCTAAAGAAATGCCAAAGCTAGAAATACCTTTACTACATAATTTATTCTAGCTTTAATAAATTTGAAATATTTTAATGAATATTATTTTTATCTTTATTGAATTGAAAGCTAAATTTTTTATCAATTAAGATTAGTTTAAATAAATACCTCAAACAAATATATAAACTAGAAAGCTTTTTACAAAATGATATCCCAGTACCAAATGCATTTAATCCTTAAGATCCAACTTAATTATTCCTAAATATTAAATATGAGAATTAAAAATTTCAAAATATATAGTTTTAAGAAGCTATTGTTTTATTACTTTAAATTAATAATCAAATTTTCTAGATTTGCACATCTTGCTAACTGAATTCCTAAATTAGATAATCCTTGGTTTTATATATTATTTTCTCTTTTTACATTAATTTTAAAACATAATAGAATAAGTAAATTAATTTTAACTATCAGCAATCAATCAATCAAAGTTAGTAAAAAAATATAAATCAGTCAGTAAATAAAAAGTTAAGATTTACTGTAAATATAGTTCTAAATATGTTAGATTTATGCATTTCTATAATCCGTTTGCTAAAGCAGAAATACCTTCGTCGCAAATATTACTTTTACTATTTATTCAAATAAACATCTACTTTACTTTATAATCACACTAAAATTTTATATTTCAAATTCGCAATTCCTAAAAAGTTTTTTCTAAAAATATCATCCCCCCTCCCTCCCTCCCTCCCTCCCTCCCAAATATAAAAATTTTTTTAATTTTAATCAAGTGGGTTGGTCTTCTGTATTTTTTAAATGATATTAATTATAACTTTAGTTAATTAACTAAATAACTAAATAAATATTATATTATAATTATGTTTTTAATGTTATAATGAATTTAAAAGCTCTTACTTAAGAAAAAGCTTAAAAATAATGAGATTTTTAAAGTTAGATAATCCAGAACCCAAATCAGAAATACTTTTTGCTCCAACATTATTGAATCTAAGTTGTTATAAAAATAAATTTAAACTTACAGAAAAGAAATTAATTATGTATTTACTATAGATCTATCAATAGAGATTAAAGAGAAGTACATTAAGATAAGCCATAACATATTATAAAAATTGCTTATTCACTAATTTCACATTATCTTAATTTAGAAATTAAATTATTAATTTAAATATTTTTCACATTTAAAAAGTATGAATAAATGAATGTATGTATGTATGATGTATGATATATTTATAACATAAAATTTGGGAATATTATTATCTAAGATTTTAGCTAAAGTTTATATTATTTTATTTTAGCTATTTTTTATAAATAATTTTAATGCGTTATCAATCAAGTATTATGTATAATTTTATTGATTTAATTTATTAATTTAATAAAAACAAGAGTTTGTTTCTATTTTAAATAATCAATATTTATTTTTGAATAATAATGGTAAATTTTACTATAAATAGATTTCAAAGGTTTTAAGATCTTTAAATTAGAAAGGAAGAATATTTGCTAGTTCTAGTAGATTTTTGTTGCTTATATTTTATTTGCTTTAGAATAACACAATAAATTAAACATTTTTTAGTGTAAAAATTATTAATTTATTACTTTAAATTTAACTAAATATGTTGATTCTTCGGAGCGCTTGATGTAATAAACTTTTGATTTAAAAAAATGTTATTCTATCTCATAAATTTTTTTATTTTATATCATACATCATTTAAACTTTCGAAAATATTTGTATTTTCAAGCATTTTTTGTTTATTTTAATCTTAAAAATCAGCTTAATAAATTTTTATATTTTATTAATAACCTTTGATACTGTTTTTTCTTTTTTCCTTAAAAATTTAAATATTGTTTAGTTTGTTGATTGAGGAAGTTTTTCCTTTCGAAAACTTCTTTTTTAAATTTTTGTATTTTTAAAAACTGTAAATTAAAAAATTTTGCAATCTACCTCAAAATAAATATTTATTTTAAAGAAAAAATAAAATATATCTTCTTTTATTTAATTTATAATTTTAAAAATTATTTGATTAAAAGAATAAAATTATTTTATTCTAAATTTTTCATTTATTTCCTTTATATTTAAAGTTAATTGATAACTGAAATTAATTTAAAAAATTTAACAAAAGTTTTGAATAACTTAGCAAAAAAAGTATGATAAATAAATAAATAATATTAAGACTTAATAAAATTTCAAATTTTTACAGCATTAAAGCTTAAAAAAATTATCATATAAATTATTAACTTCTTTTTTTAATAAAATAAATTTGTTAGTTTATTTGATAGCTAGCTAATTTTATAACAACAGCTAAAATTTAGCAATAATATTTTTTCTTTCTATTCAAAGCAAAATAATTTCAAGGTTTTGAGAAGTAGTTTGTCGAATATAAAATACTTTAATCTTTTAATACAATAAATTTGTTTGCTTATTTGATAGCTTATTTTAAATTAACAGTTAAAATTTAGTAATAATATTTTTACTTTCTATTCAAAGCAAAATAATTTCAAGGTTTTTAGAAGAAGTTTATTGAAGATAAAATTCTTTAATCTACAATATCTAAACTCTTGTTTAAGCTGTATTTTTTAATAAATTTTTACAAATATTTGGATTACAAGTCTATTGAATTTAAAATATCTAGCTGCTTCTCAAAGTAATTAGATTTTTTTTCTTAATTTTAAGAAAAATATTTAAATTTAAATAAAATAATGTTAAAAATGTACCTTTTTGTTAATTTTTTACAGGTATTTGCTCAATATAATTTGAAGAATATCCTACTAACTTAATAGCTGCTAATTATTCTTTTGTTAACAAAATCATAATAGATTTTTTTAGAAATATGATATCTTTAAATAATTATTAGATATCCATATATTTTACAGCATATTTATATAAAAATTCTTTTTCATGGTTTCCCAAATCTGTTAGACACGTGTTGTTTTTGCCTTTTTGTTATTTACAATTAAGCGTTTTAAGAATAAATCGATTTATTAAATTTCCAAAGCTAAATTTCTTATTTTCTTCTTAAAGAGATGGTACCTTTTAGCATTGGCATTCATAAATATCAATATTTGGATCTTGAGATTAAAATATAAAATCAGCTTAATTTTTAGTAACCTATCTCTCATTTGACTTAGGAGAAATAATATTAGAATTGCTTGATTTTTTAGAGTATAGCCTAGTAATTGCACAGTCATTTTGTAATAACTAAAAATTTTATTAAGTGTTATTAAATTTATACTCTTATTAGCAGGATTCTCTATAGTTTTAAAATTTTTCTTTTTATTATTGATTAAAAAATTATTTACATTATTCATTATTTAAATTATCTTAATGTTTAAATTTAGAAATATTAGATTCATCTTAATTTTATTTAATTATTGGAGACCGTCTAAATTAATTTAAGTTGAAGGATTTGTTTGTTGTTATATTGCTAGATAATTTGTCTTAAAAAATGTTTCCTAGTTGAATATTCTAGTTTTACTAATATCCCTTAAACTTAAAAGCTTGTTATTCTTTTTGTTTTTAATTAATTTATTAATTTTCTTCATTTGTTTCCAGAATTTCATCTTGAAAATTTGAAAAAATATCAACTGTAATATTTTGGCTTTATATTTTTGTTTAATTGACTTCTATATTTTCTTTTGATTTTACCATAAAATTAGGAACATTAATGGTAAAAGAATTTTTATCTTCTAAGATTTCTTCTTCTTTTTCAAGATTTGCTTATTTACTGATTTCAGAGCCATTTTGTTAAAGAATTTAACTTTAATTTAGAAATTCTTTGCAACAGCTTTGGTGCATATTCTACCTGAATATTTGAATTAGATCTTTTAATATTGCTTTCTATGAAAATCTTTTGCAAAAAAATCCAAACATAATAAGTAAGTTAAAAGCACTGTTAACAAGAGCTAGTATTTCTGGAAATGTAGCAAACTAAATCAAAACCTAGAAAACAGCTTCATCAATCTGCAAGTTTACTTACAAGTAAGGACTATCATTTGAGTTTGAGAAAACTTAACTCTAAATTTCATAATTTATTGGGCTAGAGTTATACTATTCTGATTGAATAATAAAGCCATCCTTTACTTTTGTAATTTAATTTTGTGCTTTGACAGTGTGCAAAAAATATTAATTTGATTATGTATACATAAACTCATTTTTAAAGCCAACTTAATATTATTTGCTAGTAATATTGTATTATTAAGTATATATCTTTAAATTAAGTTAAGCTGTATTTCCATCAATAAGGTTATTTATATCAGTTTAATTTGCACAGTTATTTGGAACAAAACTTTTTATATTATCTATAACTTAGCAAGAATAAATATAAATTGATATAGAAGAAAAAATATTTTGATTGCTACTCAATTCTAAGTATTTGTTCTCAAGTTCTGTATAATCCAAGCAGTAATATCCTGTTAATTCTGGCATCGAACATTTTATGATATTGATATGAGTCAAACTAAAACTTTATTAATTTTTAAATGACATTGTTGCTAAAGGTACAATATATGTAAGATTCATCTAATTTTAATACTAGTCTATGCTTAAATTTATTTCATAATCAAATCTAAATGCAATTAAATTTTCTTGAAGTGAAATTTGTATTAAATCATTAGTAATAAAGCTTTATGATCTAAATATTGGGTCAATCTTATTTTCAAAATATTGCAAAGTCAAGTATACGAAATATATAATTATAATTGACAAAATGAGTAATGAAATTATAACCCCTAAAATAGTTCCTTTTTTAAAAGAATTTCTACCTTATAGAAAGAGGAAAGGTTGCGAAAATAAATCTAATTTATTTAAAATCATCATGTTTAAAACAATTTCAGTTTCTTATTATATACTTTTCTATCTATCTATCTTTATATATTATTTTCTATTTTCTTTATTTATTAGTTTATTCTACTTATTTATTAAATTAATTTTAATCAAAATAAATAAAAAAATTTTGTTATTTTAAGAAAATAAATATTATATACAAAATAAAAATAAAGGAATGGCTAAGTAGAAGCAATTGTTTGTATTTAATTTTTGGTTTTTTTGTTTATAAATTATTAAATAATTAATAAAATTAATATTGTTGCTAATCAATAAAATAATTATAATATTTATTTTTATATCATAATTATTAAGTACTTTAGTTTCTAACAATATAAATAAACGATGTAAAAAGCAAGATAAATACCAGTGTATCATATTTTATTGGCTAGTAGATCATATGAAATATGAAGCAGTTTTAATACCTTATTTTTATACAATAATATAAGCGAATAATAACTAAAAAAAAAAATAAAATATAAACCTTAATATCTAAATTTTCAGTGTGCAGCCTTCAAAAATGCTTTATTTTAGGATACTATACATTTTATATAATTATAATATCTACTATATATTTATATTTAATATTACAAAATGAATGATATTTTCATTCACTCTAAATTTATTAATTAATTTATTTCTATTTAAGGAAGATTCTTAGTAAAAGTACGTTCTTTTTTCTAATAGTAATAAAAATATTTATAAATAAGATAAGATCAGATAAGATATTTAATTAAAAAATCAATCAAAGAAAGAAGCAAGCAAGCAAGCAAAAGAAATTTAGAAGTAATAACTTTATAATTCAAGAATTTTATTTAGAATAATGTAAAACCAAACCTTTCAAAAGTTAGACTAAAGTTGCATTTTTGCAATATTAAGCTTTTTAAATCTTAAATAATAATTTAATCTACTCTGCTCTTGTAAAAGCTTGTACTCTATGCTGTAGAATGATTATACTTATAAGATAATCTGCCATTCTAGTTATTTTGAAAATGATAATATCGTTTATGATAAAAAGCCTGCTGATATTACTTACAAGCAATATTTTGAGCTGAATATGCAAAAAGTGACCAGCTTCAAAAGAATCATTAATCTGTTATTAAAAAAGTAAAATGAAGATACAAATATAGATTATTTTAAAGACTTATAACTTGAAAAACCATTCGTTTCTGATCAAAAAAAAGTAAAAAATATAATTTCTACTTTTAAATTAGACTATCCTTGTCTCCCACGTGATATCCTACTACTTTATAGAGTATTGAATGGTCAAGATGAAATATCTGAGTCTGATTAATAATAAATATTGAAAAACATTTTTCTTTTTGGAAAAATTTCTTATTACAACACAATTATTGCTTTTAATTTTACACCTTTCTCTCAACCTCCATGCGGATTCCTCTAAAATATGAAAGCACTTCCTTTTGTTAAAGTTTAATATAATTAGTAAAGCACTAAGAGACTTTATATAGATTGCGAAAATTTCCTTCAACATGGAAGAGAGTGCATTTATAGTTTTCTATCCGTTGAGCAAAATGGAGATATGTATCTATGCATTCATGATCAATCTATTTAGTCTTTCTTAGAAAATGTGCAATACGCCAACTATGATCCAGATTTTTAATGTCTCGATTTAGTAGATACATTATATCACCCAGGCTCTGACACTACTACTTTAGGAATTAGAATAAGGGCTACAGCTTATTTCGTTCCATTTGATTAAAGTAACTCACTAGATGGCTTTTTCTACACATACACAATAAGAATTTCTGATAATGGAGTAGCACCAAACAAAAGATATAAATTGACAACTAGAAATTGGGTAATCAAATGTGATGCCGTTCCTGATAAAGAAGAAATAGTTTCAGGCCCTGGAGTTATTGGTATGTACCCAGAAGTATTTTAAGGATGCGAAGACTTTGTTTATCAAAGTTGTTGTCCATAAAAAGGTTTTACCGGCAGCATGAAAGGGTCATTTTAGTTTAGAGACCTCTAAACTGGAGATATTATCACAGCTAATATCGATGAATTCCCCTTAAGACCAAATATTAACTAGAAAATAATTAAATATAGTTAGCATAGCAAATAAATATAGCAAATTTACCCACCAATAAGCTGATTGATTTTAGAATTAATCATTCATATGAAATCAAATATAAAAAAACCGATAATAAATAAATAATCTTTTTATTTACATATGCTTACATTCCATTAAATAATTAATATCTATCTGTTATAAAAAAATATAATTCAGATTAACAATATTCAAAATATATTTATATTTATTCACTTTATTAAATTTGCTTATTAATTCATAATTAAATAAAATATTTAAATTTATTTATTTATGTATTAAATTTAATTATTATAAAATCAAATTAATTTTTGATAATATTTAAAAAAAGTTTAGAAAAACTTAATTAAAATTTATTAATAAGATATCTATCTAACTAAATTCAGATTATTGATTGTAAAGTCAAAACATTTTTTTTCTTATTTTTGACAGAAAAAAAAGAGTAAAATGCCATTTTGATTTCAAATAAGTGAAATTTAATGTTAATTAAGATAATTTACCTACAAGTTTTGTGGGGAATATATAAATTTTTTATTAAAAATTTTGTAATTTTGATTAAAATTCACGAAAATTCATTTGTTTCCATTGAATTTTCTAAGTATTTACTTAATTTCATTCAAAAGTAAATGAAATATAAATAAATTTGAAATTAAAACATATTTTCAAAGATTCTATCAATTTTTCATCAAAAAAGTGATTTTTAAAAATAAAAAGAATAGTTTTAAAAACAAATGGCTGAATGTTTATAAGAATCTGCTTAAAAAATATCAGAAGAAATATAAGAAAATAAATAGAATTTTGAAGAAAATTATTCTAATAATTAAAATTCAATAAAAATAAAATTAAAATAAAATAAGTTAATAAAAATAAAAAATGAAGCTTTATAAAATGAAGAAAAGTGGGTTTAAGAGCTCAATGACGATTCTCTTAAGGAAAATTATGGAGACTATTAACTTGTCTAGAGCTTATAATAAACAAACAAGAAATGGATTTAAGTAACTCTACTCTTCATAATTATTTTTCATGATACAATTGATTTTTTTAGCAATAAAAAACTTTTAAAAATAAATGAAAATTTTTTAATAAACAAAACATATAGATTAAGGATATTGATGATTCTTTTTTAGGAAAGAATATCTTGATTAGAGGGAGGTTGCATAATCTAAGGATTATTGGAAATTGTGCGTTTTTAATTGTAAGACAACAATCTTAAAATATTTAAGTTGTTGCACAAAAGCAAGCTGATATAACTTCTAAAACTATGATTAAATGGATTAAAAAGATACACCTTGAGTCAATAATAGATATTCATGGAATAGTTTAAAAACCTAATATTCCTATCAATTGTGCTTCATCTTAATATGAAATTTGTTTGAAAAAAATATTTGTAGTATCTAGGAGTAGTTCTCTTAATTATGGAGTAGCAGATATTTAAAGAATAAAAAAAAAAAGTTTAAAAGAAATTAGTGATGAAAATGAAGAAATAGATTTAGAAGATAGAAAAGCAATAAATAATTCGTTTTTATTTAATACCATCAATAAAGTTATTGATTTAAGAACCTCTGCTTAGCAAGCTATATTCAGGCTGAAGTCAAGTATTTGCCAGATGTTTAGAGAAAATTTATTGCTTTAAGGGTTTATAGAAATTCATACTCCTAAAATAATTTAGAGCTTTAAAAAAGAATATTCTGATAGCTTTTCTCTTGATTATTTTGGTATAGATGCTTAACTAAGTAATTTTCCAAAGTTTTATTCATAAATGGCTATTTAATCTGATTTTGAAAGAGTCTTTGAAATAGGTCCTATTTATAGGAAACTTCATGGTAGAACTCATCACACTCTATGTGAATTTATTGGAATGAATCTTGAAATGGAAATCAAAGAAAGCTACTAAGAGGTTATTGATATCGTAACAGACTTACTTTTTAGTATATTTTTAAGTTTAGAAATGATGTTTTAATAAGAGCTACAAATTGTTAAAGAATATTTTCCTTCTTAAACGCTTAAAATAAAAAAACCTGTTCTGTAAATTTCATTTTAGGAAGCTTGTAGTTTATTAGGTGAAGTCTAAAATTAGATGGATTATTTAGATAATATAAATTAAGTAAAATTAAGTAAAATAATAAGTTAAAAGTATGATACAGATTTCTATATAATCACTCAATTTCCATCTATTTCAAGTAATTTTATGGATATAGTTTGTGATGAAGAGCCTAATTATACATATTCTTACAAATTCTTTTTAAGAAACGGAGAAATAGCATCTGGATCACAAAGAAATCATGATCCTTTATCTTTAGAAAAAAGAGCTTTACAATATGGAATTGATATTAATTCAATAAAAAAATATATTGATGTAATTTCTTATGGTGCTTATCCGCATGGAGGCTGCTGTATTGGTTTGGAAAGATTAATTTTGTATTACTTAGATTTATAGAACATAAGAAAAGCATCTTTATTTTCTCGAGATAGCAAAACAATAAATCCATGAAAAAGTCAAACAAACAACAAAAGAAATTAAATTAATTTATATATTATTTTTTTTTTTGAATATTATAAATATGCTATTTTTATCTTTGGTAAATTCACCTTAATAATTCGTATATAAGAATATATATTATATTTTCATATATGTATTAATTAAAGATTTATAATTATTTTTTGGTTATTAATATATTTTTATTAGTGGCTCAAAATTAATGAGTAATTAGAGTATTTAGAAAAAAAAATTTTAATTTAATAAAATGTTATGAAATATTAAAGATGTAGTATTAGACTGAGCAAAATTAATAGATAATAAATATGTGAGACTTTTAAGTTTATTATTTATTTTATAAATTAATTCAGATAATTATAAAAAATTTATTAAATATTGATATGAATGGTTTTTATAAAAATAGTATGTATTCAAGCAAGCAGGTAAATAAATAAATAATAATACTTATTTTGCTAAATATTTAAAATAAGAAGAATATATTTATTTATTTATTTATTTATTTATTTATTTATTTATTTATTTATTTATTATTTAAATAAGTTAAATTAACACTTTTTAATTATATTATGAATTATTTTAATAATATAAATATTAAAAAGCAAAACATAATAATTAATTTAATTAAATTGTGTGATTTTAAATAATTTGTGCTTTAATATATTTTAGAAATAATTTATTAATAACTGAAATTATTTTAATTTTTGTTGAGGTAGGTTTGCAATTAATTTTATTGAGGAAGTTATTGAATAAATAAATTAAACATGAATTTGAGTTATAATAAATAAAAAATAGAAAATTGAATCAACGAGGTAGCATTTCAATAGAATTTCTGAGGAGAGATGCAACTCTACTGATATGAATTTTTTCATACTTATCTTCTAGATAGAATACCTCATTTACAATCAATTTGATATCTTCTTTATCTAGAATAATATCTAGCTATTCTTATTCTATCTTGTTGTACTACTGAGTTATAATTTTTTTGAACTCTTCGATAGTAATAATTTATTTGTGATTAAACATTTCAAGTAATGTCTCATAAGATGCTTTGTAAGGATCTAAAACAACTTCTTGAGTGTACACACTGCACAATTTTAGAAGCACCGAAAGTACAAATCTACTTTATTCTTCTTATTGTTTTTCATCAATTGATTTTTTTTTCAGCAGCTATATGCTTCCATCAGACATATTTTGATCTACATTTTTTTCATTTTGTTTATTTTTATCAGAGTCTTTTTGTTCAGCTTTCTTTTCAGTTGAATCTCGCAAATCTATTTCAATTTTCACAGATTCTTCATCTTATTTATCTATGGAACTTTTTTTATTGATTTCGTCAGCCTCTATGTCAACTAGAGACAAATCTTTATCTTACTCTCCTTTATTTTAATTAATTAAGTCTTCAGATAGATTAACAAGTGAATCATTTTCATCTTTTTGTTCTTCTTATCCTTCTGGCTTATTTAGATGAGTTTTTTAAGGTAAAATACTTCCTTGGTTTCTTGGGTTAGCAGTTGGCCTTGGATTTTCTACCTGTTCTTAATCTTACTCTTTTTCTTTTTAATTTTTTTCATTATTTCCATCTAAATTATACTTTGTTTAGTGTTCAAGAGAAGCTTGAGAAGAAGGCTAACTCGAATTTGACTATTAAATTTATAGCAAAGCTTTCTCCAAATAGTAGAATTCATCATTTTAGTAGTTGAGGTATCCTAGTTTGTGTATCAGCTGATCGATGCTTTTTAGTTTCATTTGTTCTATTTATTTCAGTTATTCTATGATTTCAGGGCGAAGTTTAATATGATTTCTCTTGGGATTATTCTATCTTCTCAAGTGTTTTATCAAGCGATACAGCTTTTAAAAGGCCAGAGTAATTTGCTCCTTTTAATTTGAGACAACTTTCTCAATAATTTATGGGTCTTTTAACTGCTAGATATGAGTATTAACAGCATATTTCTTTAAGAAAAATGGGATAACAAAGAATAGTTGAAAGAGAATCAAGAATAAACCAATAGAAAATATAACTTAGCATTCCCAACTTTTAGTGAGTTATTTAGAGTAATTAAATAGGAAAACCATGATCCAAACAATCTAGAGGACAAGGGTAAAGTGCACTAATTTAAGAGGGAATTACACAGCCCTAAAGGGAAAGAGAGACTGATGTCTGCTAGTTGCTTCTTCAGTGTAAACGTGTTAATCTTAAATATAGCTGGGATATTTGATTTTGTTGGAAAAGTGAGCTTGTCTTTTCAAGTCTAAATTGAGAAATTTAATAGATTCTATTTCGTATTAGTGTGATGCTGTTGTGATAAGTTGCTGAACAATAATTAGCTGCCTTTTATTTTCTATCCAACCAACAATGAAGGAAATCAGAGGTAATAACAAAAAAATTAAACACTCGATTAGCCAATCTTCAATGAGGTCAATAACTGTAACGATCAAAAAGAAAGTAATTAAGATAATTAGAGTAGTTAAGCTAATATTAAAAAGTTGTAAATGGCATTTTGCTTGAGCTCTTCCTAAGTACTCAGCAAAATTAAAATCCTCCCTTAAAACCATTGGTTCTGTGTAGCAAATGTGAGTGATAGGCATGATAAAGTCTTCTTTGATAAGAAAATATTAAATATTTTTGAGGCGCTCTTCAAATTAGGCTTCAGTTTCATCCTCAGGATCTACTTCTAAATAATCCATTCTATGAATCCAATTCCTCTCATATAGCATGTAAGTGTTGCTGAAATTCTAAAGAATATAGGCATAAATAGTAGCAATCAGTATCCAAAAAATACTAAAGAAAGCAAAAGTAATAGTGAACCCGTAAATGTTGAAATATTCTAGCTGGATGACATCTAAAAATCTGTTATAATACAAAATCTGAACAAGAGTGTTCAAACTCATGAGAATTATAACATCCAATATGATTATCCTGAGAGACTTTATGTAGTATTTTTCTAAATACTTACTCATCGAAGATCTAAATCTAGCCAAAAGTAACACAAGAATTATCAAACCGCACAAAATTAAACCACAATACAAGGATATCTCATATTTTGATATTCCTGATACATCTTATTCAATATCCTTAATATCGACTTCATCTTGTCTTATCTAATTTTTATCATTTTCACAATTCATTATTCCATCATCAACATTTATCTAGCAGTCTCCAGCTATATTTTTTTTAGCATTCTCATCTTTTTTTTCATTTTCAACTTATTTATCACTGATATCTTTTTCAGACTTTTATGCAACTTTTGCTTCTCCTTTTTCACCAACAGGAGGACCTAAAATCTATTCTGGCTATTTAGTTTCCATAGGAGTTTAACTTTTTTTATCTCCCTATAACTAGTTGATTTAATTCATATTTTCAAGCTGCTGATCTGAAGGATCAGCTATATCCTGAGGAGGAGATTTTTTCTAAGCCTCTTCCAAAGGATTTTCTTAATCTACTTTTTTTATACTTGTATCAAAAGAGGAATTCCCGAGCACGTCTTTGATTTAGCTTTGGCTTAAAACAAAAATATTCTTTCTCTAAAGATTCTGAGGAACAGTTTCAATATAATTGCTTTCCTAATCCATCAATTAATCCTCTTTTTCTTCTTATAAATTTTCAAAATTATCATATGGCGTAGTTTGAAGAAATAAATCTGAAAATTTATGGCTGCTATTGTTGTTAGTTTTACTTAATTTCTAACTATTGTCATTGAATTAAATGAATTAACTAATATCGTTAGCCTCTATTTCTTATAATTTATTTTTCAAAGCAGACTATGTAGATACCACCTTTGATTTCATTCTATTTAACTCTACTTCTTCCTCATTTAATAAGTCAGCAAAAGTAAATTATGTAGATCGACATTAAACTGAATAGAAAAAAGAACTTGAGGAGATAATGAATAAAATTATGGTCTAAATGTACAAATATTTCATTTATTTTATATTATATTTTTTGAACAAGCGAAAATGAGCGAGTGAATAATTGAATCTATGTATTTTAATATTATTTTATTTAAATATCTTCTAAAAAATCAACTAAAAATCCTATCCTAATTTCCTTATAGTTTTTGCTCAGTTATTATTTATTTATTATCCGTTTTTAATTTTCTTTATATTTTACATATAACTAAAATATTGTTTTTGATTCTACTCATTAAGCAAAATCAATAAACCAATAACACAAACGTATTCATTCATTCATTTAATTTTTCAATCAATTCATCATTCACTCAGTCAATCAATCAATCAATCAATCAATCAATAATTCATTCATTCAATCAATAAAATTTCTATTTTATTGTTTTATATATGATTTAGAATGCAATTTTGAATTTTTGAAAAGCTAAAATTCTTTTTGTGATTGATTGATTGTATGATATTAAATTTGCATGTTATATTATGTAAAATATATCTAAAAAAACTAGTTAGTAGAAAATACTCTAAAATATTATCCATGTATTTATTTATAATGTATCTTTATATTAAATAAATTATTTATTCTCAAACATTATTTTATAAAAATGAATATCTTTTTAAGCAGAATTAGTTCGTAATTTGTTTGTTTGTTTGTTTTTTTAGAAATTATTTTTTTATGAAATAAATTATATTACTAATTAAAAAATTTTTTTTTATAAAGTATAAGTTATGAATCAATAGGCACTCTCTTTAATAATAAATATGTAGGTAGCATAATTTTATTTTTTCTTATTTTTTCAAAAAATATTGCGAATAAAATAAAAATTTTATTTTAAATTAAAAATAATAAACCAAAAAACAATGAATATAAAAATAAATTATTAATAAAAAAATAGATTTCATAATTTTATAGATATAAATTAATTAATATTTAATTAAATATAAGAAAAGGAAAGAAAATATAAAATTAATATTAATTAATTATTTTTTTATTTTTGTAAAATAAAATTTAAATTAAAAATATTTATTTAAAATTAAAAAATAAACAAATTAAACATAGTTAAATAAAATAACATAAAAATTATAAATTAATTAATTAATTTAATTTTAAATAATAGCTTGTTAGCTACAGAAAAAATATGCCACAAATAGCAATATTTGGTTTAGCACAAATTTTGTGGAATAACTAACTTACTGTATGTATAATTTAGGTCAAATTATCCAATTACAAAATATAAAAAAATAAAGCATATTTTATTAAAGTATTCAAATATATTTAGATTTATTTGTCTTTTTTTCACTGATTCTAATCATCAAAATATTATTAATGCCAAAAATAATCTTTTTGGTTTGAGATATTTAACTTTCAAATGTTTTGATAACACGATTCCGTTTAAGCTATTAATATAAATTTGAGTAAATTACTAAAATAAAATTTATACTTTAAATCAATAAATAAAAAAACACTAGCAGAATAAAAAAAAAAAACAAATAAATAAATTAAAAAAGTTATTAAGTTTTTTATTTTGCTTTAAATTCATTTTTATATTCTAAAATATTACAATTATGAGAGATTAGTCCATTTTCCTAATCCAAAACCTAAGCTTGATACATCTACATTACCAATTTGATTACTAATTTTTAAATTATAAGAGTTGAAAATGTAAAAATGAGTTAAATTAACAAACAAGCAAGCAAATAAAAAAAGAAAAATAAATCAAATAAAAATCTAATAAATAAATTAAAAGAGTTAGTTAATTAGTTAGTTATATTGCCTTAAATTCATTTTTAGATTAAAAAATATTACAATTAAAAAACAAAAAAACTGTTTTTACTCTAAATTATAACCTAAGCTAAATGCACCTTAGTCACCAATTGCATTATGAATTTTTAAATAGTAAAAATTGAAAATAAAAATGAGTTAAATTAACAAAAAAACAAAGAAATAGAAAAAAAAAAAATAGAAAGAGAATAAAAAATTAAAAATGAAAAATAAATAAAATAAAAAGCTAATATTTAATAGAGGTATTTATATTGTTTTAAATCCATTTATTAATTTCAAAAATATTACAATTCAAAACAAATAAACTGTATTTATGTTAGATCAAATTTCAAATTTGAAAGATTTGTGCAGTTTTATAAGGCAAAAACTAAAATTGATGCACCTTGATCACCAATTTAATTATCCCTTTTTAAATATTGAAGAAATAATATAAAGTTAATTTATGAGTTAGAAGGAAAAAATGAAATAATAAGAAATCAATTATAATAAAAGCAGAAATTTAAAATGAAGAAATGAGTTAAATTAATAAAAAAAACGCAAGCAGAAGAAAAAGAAGAAAAATAGATCTAATAAAAATCTTATAAATAAATTAAAAAAGATAGTTAGTTAGTTAGCAAGTTATATTTTTTTAAATTTATTTTTATATACAAAAATATTACAATTAAAAAACAAATAAACTGTATTATTTACACAATATTAAGTGTCAAATTTGAGAGATTAGAGCACTTTCCTAAGCCAGAATAAAAGGTTGAAAAATTTTTACGATCAATTGATTCCCAACATCTTAAATATTAAATAAAAAAATATATTAAATTATAATTTAGAAGGAAAAAAGAATAAAAAAATAAATCATCCAATGATCAAAATAAAAATTATTTGACTGAAAATTAATTTAAAACAATTAAAATTATATTTATAAATAAAATTAATGAAGATAGATGAATATTTCTTTAAAGAAAAATAATATTGTAAATAAATAGATACATTTAGTTAAAATTTTCATAAATTAGGTGAATAGATAAAAAACAAAGTTTCAAGTATTTTTAAATCATTACCATATATAACAATTTGCTATTTTAAAAATGCTTGATCACTGGTAGGCAATGAGGTAATCAATTAGTGATCAATTATATAATTTTTTTTATTTTACAAATTTTATGCAAACAAAAAGTGAGTGACCATACTGTATAATGTATGTTCTTTATAATCATTAAAATCTTATTCAAATTCTTTTATATCTTATATTTATTTATTATTAAATATGTAAAAATTTAAAATTTTAATTTAAATAATCATATTTATTTTTTATTAATACTCTATTCTATAAGATTAAACATCTAATTATAAATTCAAAAAAGTAGCTATTTTTAAACATTCTGGATTCATGTTTACATAAATAAATATATACATTTATTGTTTTTAAGACATTGGTTTAAATTTCTCTCATAAATTAATATTCATAATATAGGTTCATTCAAACTTCTAATCGAAAAAATATTTTTATCAAAGATATTGATTGAGTTTTTATCAAATTAAAAAGTACTTGATTGATTGATGATTATTATATTTTAACGTGAAAAAATGTTATTAATTTTTTATTTTGAATGAAATGAAATTGAATTAAAAATGATTTTTAATACTTTTGGTACTTTTCAAAAGAATAATAATAAAAAAAAAATTACTTGATAATATTTAAAAAAAGCTATCTATCTTTTATCCATTTTTTCTTTAAGTGATCAAAATACAATTATTAGGAATTTGATAAAATTATTTAAATGAAAATACTTACTTACTTAAACTTAAAAGAGTATTTTAAAAATTAAATTTAACAAAAATTACATGCTAAATAAGATAAAAATTTTAAATATATTAAAATTATTTAAATGAAAATACTTACTTACTTACTTAAACTTAAAAGAGTATTTTAAAAATTAAATTTAACAAAAATTACATGCTAAATAAGATAAAAATTTTAAATATATTAAAATTATTTAAATGAAAATACTTACTTACTTAAACTTAAAAGAGTATTTTAAAAATTAAATTTAACAAAAATTACATGCTAAATAAGATAAAAATTTTAAATATATGGTAGATTAGTGCTGAAACCTCATCTTTCAATTCAATATATCCTAGATTTATGCTGAAACCTCATCTTTCAATTTACTATTTGAAAAATAGTTCTATGAAGGAATACTGCTATTTATTTGTATTTTTGGTATGTGTACTTGACTATTCTAGAAATAAGTAGGGAGAAATTAGCTTGAAGTAAAAATGTAATTTGAATATTTTGCATTAGTTGAAAATAATATTTATAATTACTTATTAATAATTGGCCAAATTTGATTTTTATACTTACTAAAAAATACAAATTTTTATATAAACTAAGGTGGTCAGTTAGTTCATTATTTATTTATGTAGATTTATAATTGGCATAAAATAATTTTTGTTAGTTTTGTTTGTTTAATTTTATAGGTTTTACTTATAGAATGATTGAATTGAATAAATTGCTTTTAGTTTCATACTTACTATTGAATTTTAAAGAGGGACTATTACTAAAGAAAGAAAGTAAATGAAGAAAAATATTTGGGGGATGAGAAAGTTTAGTATTTGATTCATAAAAATTGAAGATGCACATTTTGTTACAGAAAAAAGTGAAAATGTTACTTATATAATTTTTAGTTGTTTACAGAGTACTAATTATTAGGTCTAGTAAATATTTACACCAATTACACAAATCTATTTTTAGATTATTTTTAAATATAAATTAATGTTTTTTTTAATAAAGTTGCTTGAATTGTTTTTATGAAGCTATTTTTAGTTTATTAATTAATGCTTCTTTTATGTTTGAAATTATATCGTGAAGTGAATTTAATTTAATTAGAGTAGAAGAATTCAAGGGGAATTTTATAATAAAATTGTCTTAGCTTTTAATCGAATTCTGAGAAGATCAAATTAATAACTTGGTTATCAGGTTGTATAAATAGTTAAAAATAAGGTTCAATTATTTTATTTATCAATATGAAGGTATTTCATTTTTTATATAGCCAAAATATTTTTAAAAATTCTAAAATAAGAAATAATCAGTCATAATCACACTATTGAAATAAAAAACTAGAACAGATTTCTAAAATAGTTGAAAAAATGACTTTTTTATTTAAAAAAGTGTAAAAGCTTAATTTTAAGTATTTTTTTCACGAAAATAAATTAATTTAATTTTTTACTAAAAATAGACAAACATAAATCAAAAACAAACCAAACACACAACTAATTATTTTGTTTATTTATTTATTTCTTAATTTATTAATTTATTTGTTTGTTTATTTATAGTTATAATAAAGTAAAATAAATTAAACATTAATCTAAATTTATTTCTAATAGCTCAATTTCATTACAGATTACTGTCTAAACTAGACAATGCCTAAATAGAATTAGCAGCACTTTTTATTATATTTTCAAGTAAGTCAAATTTTTCTATCAATCACTTGTTTCTGTCTTACCCCTAAATATTATTTTATTATTTATTTAAATATTTATTAATCATTTTTGTTCCAAATGTAAGCTTTTACCTCTGGGAGTTCATTTTACCAAACTGTGAGATTGTCTCTAATAAGCTACATAATTGTTGTCGAATCTTTATACCTTTCTTCTTCCAAATCTTCAAGGTCATTAAGGGCTTCTTGGAAAGCTTTTCTGGCTATTTCACATGCCTTAACTATATCATCCTTGATTTCATAGTAAAGGACAGAATAGTTGAGTGCAATACCTTATATTTTAAACAATCTATGAATAAATGCATACATGAATGAATGAATATAATTAATCGTTTCAATTATTTTAATTTGCAGTTGATGTGTAATTAAATAAATAAATAGATTTATTTGTATTTACTATATAATTTAAATAAGTAAATAAATAACCTAGACGTAAGGCATCATCTTTTCTTGCATTTTTTTAATCCAATAATTGGTTGGCTTCTTCGTAGGATTGAATGGCTTCAGATGTGTATGTTTCTAATCTATTTGATAGAGATAAAGTTAATAATGACAATGTAATTTGTTAAGATTAAAATTTGATTCAGATTGGTTCATTTACATTCATTTTTATTTAATGATGTCTATTTTTTGAATAAAATTTTGATTAAATATATGTCAATTACTGATCGGGTGAGCTAAACTCGCATAAATATCTGTAATAATCCCCCCTCATTTTTAAGTAGAAAATTTTAGCGTCTTGATTAGAATTTTTGATGAGTGTTTCATCAAGGATTTAAATAATTTCATTGCAACTTTTCTCCATTTCTTCTTCAATATTTTTTTTATAATATCTAATTGTTTCTGCATATTTACCCAAGGTATTCTGTTATATATCAGTTTTAAAATATTTTACTAGTTAATTCTATTAAAATTTTACATACTTTATTCTTTTCCTTTGTTTCGTAAGCTGTAATTGCTCTCCACGCAGTCCTTCTTTACGAAACATAATTTTTATAAGCAATAGATAAAAGATTTCTTTCTTCATCTTTTAATTCTCTTGATAACCCAACTAACTTTTTAGTATACTCTACCATTTCGTCAAACCTTTCTGTTTACTCAGATAGTTTTGCCATGTAAATGTACTCTTCTCTTTTATTATCAGCCATTATTATAAATGTCTATTAATTTAATGCGTTAAAATTTTTTTTGTTTCTAATTAATCTTTGTCTACTTGATTGATTGTTGCTTTTTTATTATAAATAAGTTAATAATCAGATTTAAAAATTAGATATTTTTTCTGCAAAATTCAAAAATTAACAATTTATATTGATTGTCTCCACTCAAAACAGTATGAGAGAGTTTTCATTTATTTATTTATTTTAAATAAAGAAACTTCATTCATATTTTACACTGAATATATTCAATTTTATTTTATCAAAATATTGATTTTAAAGTAGAATAAAATAAATATAAATTCTTATATAAATTTGTATAATTAAAATTTTATTTTACAATTTAGCTAAATAATCAAGGTAAATTTTTGAATTCAATAAAAAAAATTTTTAGAAGAGATAATGGATTTTATGTTAATATAGTATATATATAGTTAATTTATCATAGTAATTTTAAACTTTTTAACAGACTTTAGAATAGAAAAGCTTAAAATAGAAATTTGATCAAACTTAAACAGATTTTAAATTTGTTTTAACTGTTTAAAATTAAGGTTCAAGCAATTAAAAAAATAGTATGCAAATCTGAAGATAATGAGAGTAAATAAATAATTCTTCCATTTGTTAAAAAGAGCGCGGATTTTTATTTAATAGAGTAACTCAATTATTTTACAATGTTTTGAATGCAAAAAGTCTTCATTCATTTATTTAAAACTTTTTTTACAATTACAATTAAGATAATGAATAAAAATGAATGTGAGTTAATGGAAATTTAAATATTTAAATAGAATATTATTTTTTATTTTAATGTTAAGGGATTTAAGAAACATTTCAAGCAAAAACTAAACTATCTCTTTGAAAGTATTATGTTACTAATTTGTAAATTTACTCCTAAAACAGACAGAATATTTCTTATGTTTTCTTTGAATAAGTTAGTGATTATTTATGGCAAATTTTTTTCGAAGATAAAATCTCCTGATAGAGTTTTCTTTTATAGATGGGTAAGGTAGATAGATTTATGACATAAATGGAATTAAAAAGAATTTTTATATTTTTCTTTAAGGTAAAACAAATAAAAAAAATCTGGCTAAGTCGATAAATTTTTTTTTCCTTTTTTTAAGTATTGTTACAATTTAAAATCTGTACCATAATCAAAATATTATAAAACCTTGAAATTGAAAATTTGCAAGCATAATTTTCTATGAGTTTCAAAAAAAAGGTATTAAAACAGTATTTTTTAATAGAATAAATATTTGAAACTTTATTTTAAAAAAGGAATTTTCGATAAAATCCTACATTTCTAAATGTCTTTTTGTATTTTAACATATAAAATATGGATTTTTGCATCCTGATTTATAAAAATTTTTATATTTTCTATGATGGCGAATAAATTTATTCAAGACTGGAATAAATTTGAGTATTCAGTAATGAAAAGAAAAAAAAGAAGATAGATATTTATCACATTAAACATAAATTATATTTTTATAAACTTACAAATTTTTAAATTTTAAAATGGATGTTTGAGAATTTTATTTGAATGCGAGAAATAAATTGAAAAATCAATATTTATTTGAATATAAATTTTACCTAATTATAATAGTTTATTATAATTAAATTAATCTATTCAAGCTTGCACCTGATTACATTGAAATAGAGCTAATTATACATGCAAGTGAATAAGGAACATAAATTATGTAATATAAATCAAATGAATATATTTATGGATGAGTAAAATTGTTGTGATTTATTAAAAATTTGAAGTGTAAATCCCTTTGATTTTGCCGAAAAATTACAAAAAGATAATCAATAATTCGTTTATTTAAATTATAGGTTCTCCAATTTCAAATTAAATACTTTTGAATTATGCATGCATAATGTATGATAATTTTAGTTATGAATTATGTATTTTAACCGCAATTAAGACTTGTTAATTGTTAATTATTAATTAATTAATTAATCAATCAATTAATCAAAAATTTTAAGGTAAGATATTCAAAATTGATTCCTTCAAATCCCAATTATTAAAGATAAATCCATAGGAATATTGTAATTCGTAAGGATAATTAAAATGAATGAGTGAGCCAAAATAATATTTTCATTATTTCAATTAATAAATTAGAAAATATTAAAAATAGAAATAAAATAGAATCAATTTTATTTTTATCTTTCTTGTAAATTAATTTAGCTGGAAATTGCATGAAAATTGTCATATTTATTTTCTATTTTATTTATTTAATATCGAAACAAACAACCAGTCTGTCAGTCTATTCAGCTAGTTAATCTACATGATTTATCAGTATAAATAATTTTACGCTGATTATTTATTTGATTGTTTCTATTTTTTTCTTTTTTAATTTACACTTGACTCTATTTGATTAAATAGAAGCAAATATATTGATAGAGAGATAGATAGATAAATGCTTTATTACCCATATAATTCATTCATTCATTAATACATACATTCATTTATTTATTTATTTAAATTATTAATTAATTTATCGTTATTTTGTATTAACTTATTCTGCTTATATTTCAATTCTTAGGTTTTGTGGGGTAAGGTAAATTGATTAGTTGAGCATTTTTTAATTAATTAATTAAATGGCATAACACTTAGAGAATAGCCAAATATTCTCATCTTAATTTTAAATTATTTCATAATTAAATAATGTTAAATTAAATGGAACAGAGAACTCATAATAATTTAAAAATAAATAAATTTAATTACAACCAAATAAAAAACAAACATACACTTAAAAAAAAATGGATTTTCTACAAAGTTAAATGACTTTAAATTCTTGGGAAGATAGTATCGAAGAGAATGAAGCTTCTTGTTTTAGCTCTAAAGATTTTATAGATAATAACAAATTCAACTGCAATATTTCTGAAAGTGATGCTACAACAATATATACAAGTTCAAGTGTTGTATAAAGCAGCACTTCGCTATCTTGTTCAACTCAAATTCAGAAAAATTCTTTCTCTTTCCTCGAAAAAGGCGTTTTTACTAGACTTTTCTATGATGAAGAAACCTTTAAGGAAAAGTCTGAGTCACTTAAAATCTTAGCCTCAGAAATTCAAGACATCAGCAACATGTCATGTTAGGAAAAGGAGCTTTTTGTCAGACATTTTAAAATCATTCCTAAAAGTAATATTTACAAGAACATCTTCAGATGCTTCAATCGTTTCATGATCAATTCTAACAACCAAGTCTCGATCGAATGCTTAGATATTAATGGTAAAGACATCACAATGATCCGCAAATAATACTAGAAATTCTTGAAAAATGTCTCCTATCCTGAAATGCTCTACAGAATCATGAAAAACGAGAGATACTCCAAATTCTTTTACTACTATTTGCAAGATTTCTTCCTTGAGGATTTGTACTCTGGAAATTTCAAGTAACTTAGAGACCATTTTATTTCTAGCACATACTTTATAGCATGCTCAACTGATGCTTCTCTTCTTGATAATGTCAAATTTCATAAAAAGTGATTTATGAATGAATGAATAATTAATAAGAAATAATCAATAGCAATTCTCCAAAAAATTATAGTGAAAATTTAAATTAATCTTGTTATATGTAAAAATAAATAAATAAATACACAATTTTCGATTGATACATTAAATAAATAACCATACAAATTAAAACTAGTAATACATTATACATTAAACTGAATAATCATTTATCTAAATATCTATCTATCTATCTTATTAATAAACAAAAAACCTAATAACTAACTAACTAATTAATTAACAACTAACTAACTAACTAAACTAAATATACTTTTAACAACCAAATTGATTAAAAAATTAATTTAAAAGTAAATGTTAATATTAGCAAATAAATAATTAATTAATAATTAGTTTTTCTTATACATTCTTATATTTGTCTTATCCTCTCGTCATCTCAATTATAATTATAATATTAAAGATATAATTCTATTTTATTCATTTTTAAAAAATTCATTCAAAATTTTAGTTAAAAAATATCTACCTTTTTTCTCCTTATTTAACTAGGTAGTATAAGTCATTTTATAAGCTTAACAATCAAATTATTTGTTTTAATTTTTTAATTTCATTTATATGTTTGGTTTACAGACAGATAAGCTCAAATACATCAAAATCAAATTTTCTAACAAATAGTATGGGGTTTACACTCAATATTTTGCCTGTTTTTTAGGTATTTAATAATTTATTTACCCCAAAAAAAGCAAGTAATTAAATTAAGAGTAGTTGATCGATCTCGTGGAAATCCTTACTCATTTGAGAAGTATATATAATATATGTATATAGAGCAGGATTATCCCTAAATATTAATAAAATTCCTACAAATTATTAACTTTTAGTTATTTCATATTCCATATTCCAAATTATAAAGAAGTCAATCAGTCAGTCTTAATAACTTCACTCGCACTTTATTCTCTTATCAAAAATACTATGATTTTATTAAATATTAACTTTATTTAAATAAATAAATAATTTTTCTAAATTTAAATAATAATTTCTATTCTGATTATAATTTTATGTCAAAATATTTTTGAAATTTTAGATTTAAAAACAGTGCTTTTAGAAAGAAAGTAGAGAGATAGATAGATATGTGTGTATTAGATTTCATACATTTCCTTAACTTCCTTAGGATATTAATTATACTGTTTGTTGTAAATTAGTCTATTGATTCCCCAGATTAATAAAAGAAGATTTACTTTTTCTAGTGAAATTACAATTAACTCTTTTAGTTCTAACTAATAGAAACTTATTTGATATAATCACTTTGATTAAGAATCTACCAAACTGATGTTTTCTGCTGTATTTTTTATCTTTACCCCAAACTATTTTTGTTTAATTAATGCAATTTAGTACTGTGTAATAATGATGAATTATCAATACAATTTTCTAGTTTTTATAAATAAATCTTTTATTACATCTAAATAAAAAAATCATTTTTAAATTTATATCAAAGAATTTAAGCAAAAAAAATTTGATTAAAATAAATTTCTGTTTAAAAAATACTCCTTATTATTAAAATAAAAATTTTATTATTAATGAAAGTATCCATTTAAAATTTAGTACATTTTTTAAACCTGTTTGATTTCTACAGAAAATAGAAGCATTTAAAAATATTTTTTTTTATATTTTGAAAAATTGGTTTATATTTTCAAGTAATTTTATGTTATGAAAATATAAACAAATAAAAAAATGTAAACAAATAATTTAGAAAAAATTGTTCATAATAAATAATAATTCAATGATAGATACTTAATAATTTAGTATAAAGAGAAAATTTATTAACTACTTTTTTAAATCTAAATTAATTTTAAATTAATCAAATGTAAAAACAAACAAAAAATCTTTAAAAATTTAAATTCTTATATTAACTAAATAAATAGCAATTTAAAAAATTTTTATTTTCTAACAAAAAAATATTTTGATTCAAACAATTTGTCTAAATTAAATTTCATAATATTAGAGATTGATTACTAAATTTTTAATAATAAATTTAAAATTATTTTTATTGCTTATTTATTTAGTTCAAAAATTAAATTATTTCAAATAAATAAAAATTATTAGATTTTTTTTCTTTTTGAAATTAAATAAATTAGAATTAAATCTTTTAGCTAACTAAATAAATATTCTGTAATTAAATGCTAATTCATTTATTCATTTATTTATGAATGTAATTAATATAAGTGATAATTAAAATGAAGGTAATTTCACTTAATAATTATGATGATTATTTATTTATCTTTATTTTTATGATTATTCACAAAATTAATCAAAAATTTGTTAAATCTCTTTGAATATTTTAATTATTAAATTTTGAATTCAAAGACCAATGAAAGTTAACAGCTATAAGATTAAATCTGAAGAAGATTTACAAAGAAACGTGAGTACCACTCCAAGTTTCTAAAAATTATAACAAAAAATTCTAAATATTTAATAAAAAAACGATACTCAGGATTAAATATAATCCTCTTTTTCTAAGAGTTGCAACCATAAAACTGCCTCAAACAGCACGGATACTAGTTAATATTCATGTAGAGATAATTTTACTCATTCTGAGTATAGTTCTTGTACTAATTTAGATTCTTAATTCAACAAAAAAAGTTAAGTTTATGCCAAAGAGTAATCTTATTGCAGTGTTCGAGAAGTTAGTCCTCTCACTTAAAAGCTTTATGATCCTCCAAAATTAGATTAACACTAATAGCAATTAAAACCACCTAGATATCACACTCCAACTAGAGATTCTATTAAATCTAATGATGCAGTTGGATAAAAATAAAAAACACTTACAAAAACAGAGAGCAAAAATTCATAGAAATTAGGCAATCAAACCTCTCAAAAGATTACTAATTACTCTAATTCAAAAAGGGAAAACAGCAATAAAAGCAACCAAATTAATATAGAATCATCTCCAAATATTCGCAAAGGATCACTATCATCATAATCTAAAGCAAATAAAGGGAAAATAGAAGAAAGTAATAAAAAATTAAAAGAGGGAGTTACTGAAAAGGATAAAAAGATTATTGAAAAAATATAAAAAAAATTGTAAAATAAATCACCAATATCAAAGAGTTTAAAAGAAGTAATTTAAAATGCTTTAATCATATTTATTTAAATGAAAACAGTAACTTTTGTATTAATTAATAGAATAGATCAAATATAAAATAATTCAATGATAAACACCAAATTTTCTCAGAATAGCATTTAAACTAAGACCAAAGACTAACTCGCTATGAAAACTTGCTTCAAAAAACACCTAAAAATTATGAAAAGGCATTTGAAATTAAAGATTGTGGCGCTTATTTAAATTGTAAAAGTTCCAGTGAAGAAGATAATGAAACAAATTTTTAGTAGAATTTTTTATCAAATTTGAAAGAAAAATTAAATGAAGAAAATCAGTTAATAAACGAATAACTTTAAAAATTAGATAAAAAAATGATACCAAATTAAAAAGATATTTAAAAGACAGCATTATAATCTCACTTGAATATCTCTACAAAAGACTTAAATTGTGTAAATCAATATCCGCCATAAACCTGTATTTAATCCTAGAGTTAAATTCAACATGACCTTAAATAATGTTAATTAGACAGGCTTTCATCTTCAAACTAAGATTAAAAAAATAATATTTTTTAAAATATGAATTCCACAGCAAGAAAACAGAGTATTCCCAACTTAGAAGTTAACAAAGTATTTTATTTTTTTCTAATAAAAAATAAATATAAAAATTTAAATTAAATGTTTTGTGTAATTTTAAAATTATTTAACTTGAAAATAAATAAATTAATTTTTATTAGTGCCTATTTTTTTGATAAATTTAATTTTATTTACTTGATAGGATAAACTAAATTTAGAAGGATTTTAGGAATAACTCAATAGAAACAATTAAATCATAGGTCAAATATAGCATTCTTCAAATTTGAGATTAATGGATAATAAAATATTTAAAAACCTTTCAAATTCTTCTTCTTCTGAAAGCATAAAGAAATAAAAATTAATCATATCTGAATAGACAAAATATACAAAACAAACAAATTTTGATGATCTCAACAAATCGCCAGTTGCAGAAACAAGAGCTACTTCTAGTAAATCAACAAAATATATTTCAAATCCTTTAAGCTACGAAAAAGATCTAAATAACAGATTTTCAACTGAAGATAAAAGCCATGATTATGCCAATTCAACTGATGAAGATTTATTTTCTTGCTATAGTTTGGCTAGCAGAAGCAACAAAAATAATACTATTTAGGCTAAAAGCAATCAGTTGTCAGCTAATAATCTAGAAAATATCATGCATCTTTATTAGCCAGGTGAATATTGTAATAAAAGTAACCACAACAAAGAAAATATGATTTTAGATTAAAAAAAATAAAATATCACTGATAGAGATTCAAGTAAATCTGAGCAAGCAGCAGCTCTTTGCTCTACTTTTAGGCAGTGTGTGAACGGAAATTAGGAATAAATAAACGATTTAAAATGTCAAATTAAACAATTTTAATATGAAAATTAGCAATTAAAGAGCTTAGTTTAAAAGCAGGAAAACCAAAGCTTTTTAAACAAAAAAATAATTAGTGAAAACAAAGTTTAAATTTAAAAAATAGAACAATAAAATTAATAATTAATATAAAAAAATAAATAACTAACAGATAAATTATAAAAATATGAAGAAGCTTTGTAATTTACAAAGACTGAATCAACTAAATAACAAAAAGAAATGCAAAATAAATTGTAAGACAGAATTAACTAGCTGTAGAGTGCTTTAGGCAATAAATCAGCTGAAGCAGATTAATTAAGAGTGGATTTAAGTAAAATTCAACAAACTGTCGATTTACAAATTGAAAAGACAAACAGCTAATAGATCAAAATTAAAAATCTAGAACAGCTCGTCTCAGAATATAGCAAAATAGAGAGTAAACTTTTTGAACTAGAAGACATCCATGAGTCTGTAAAAATGTAAAACTAAAGTCTGCAACAGTAGATTGAATAGTGCCATCAATTAGAATAAAAATACTATCAAATCCTTTTAGAAGTCAAAAAAAGTTAGCAAAACTAAAAAAGTAAAGTGGTAGAATTTTCTCAAGTCATAGATGCCTACTTAAAGTTGACAGAATGCATTATAACAGAGAAGGAGCCCTCTGTAGATGTTCTAGTAGGCCACAGGAGAAAAAGAAGCTCTTTCTTAGAAATAAAAAAGCCAGAAGATATCTAAAGCTTGACTATTTAATTGGAGAATGATAATATGAAATAAAAAATAAAAGAACAATCTGAAATTATTCTAACATACATTAAAGGCTCAAGCGAAAAAGTTCAATCGGTCCTAGACTAGTCCCGTTCTCTTCTTGATAAGCTTAGTGATTATTACATGTAAAAATTTGGAAATGGGATTATATGATTGAATATGGTTGATATTAGATTTTATGATTTATTTATAATTAAAATACTATATATTTACCAATTATTTAATTAATCAATCAATTAATGTATTAAAAAATTTAAATTCATATGATTTTTAAGTAAGAAATTAATACTTTATTTTAAAAAAATAATTACATAATAGTGTTGTTATTCATTAAAAAAACATAATTTTTATTTAAGTAGTATATTCAGCAAGAATACTTTTTTATATTTAAAATGAAGAAAAATTCATAAATAAAAACATACATATAGGTTGTTAGAATTAGTAGAATACTTTCGATAATATTTAATTTCTCTTATTTTTTTCTGCCTGTTGAAAAAAGTTTTTGAACAGAATTAAATTCATATTTATGAAAGAATAAATAATTAATTTTTGATATTACTAGAATACTTAGTTTAAGAAAGTAAACAGAATCATATTAGATTGAAAAAGTTAAGAAAGAACTCTTAATTTAATACCAAAAATAGTTTTATTTTCCAATTTTTAATTATTAAGTTATAAAAAAATTAGAAAGAAGGAGTTTGTATAGACTAATTCATTAAAGTATACTTTGTATAATATTTTTAATAATTTGATTTAAAATTTAAGTTATAATATATAAGTTATTTTTATTTAAAGAATAAATATGCTCTCTAATAAATTATGTATGAATGAATGATAAATGGAAATCTAACAAATTAGCTAACTAATTGTAAGTCAAATTAATTTTTTTAATCTATCATAAAATTGATATTTAATAATGTAATATTTGAAAAACTATATTAAAATAAATGAATTTAAATTTTTAAAGTTTTAATTTTCATTTATTCTTAATAAAAATATCTTAAAATTCATTTACAAATATTTTAACTATTTATAAGCCTACATCAATCATAAAACATTTAAAAAACAGGCATATTTGTCTATGTGTAGTATTTGATAAAATTTATACTTCTCATTTGTAATCTGATAAATAGAAAACTAACTAATTAAATAAATAAATAAATAAATACACTTTTTATAAGATTTTAAACACAACAAATATAAATAATTATGTATTGATAGAAAAATAAAAACTAAAATATATCAATAAATATATGTTTTTTTTGAATACAAAAAGCAGATATTATTTTTTTTAGCTTTTAGTAGTTTTGAAAAAATTTTTTTTAGAATTAAAATTAAAACAGACAGAATGAATATGAAATTTATTTGATAAATTTTGAAAAAATTCTAGAAGGAATATAATATTTTGCGAATTATCAAAATTGAATAAATTGCGTAATAAACAAAAAAAATCAAGCAAATTAAATTAAAAAATAAATAAATAAAACACAATTGTTAGAAGATTATAGAGCTATATCAATCAAAATATTAAAATAAGATGGGTAGCCAAGTTACAAAAGAACAATGTTGGTTTGAATTATATTAATAAATACTTTTATTTATTTATTTCTTTCTTTCTTTCTATTAGACTAAGAAAAGATAACTGAATGTCATAATAGGTATGATGATCTAGTGTATTGTTAAAGAGAGTTTGGGTTTAATGATCTTAAGTGCAAAAGTAAAAATTTTAACTTTTTTCTTAAATAGGCATAAATATAAAAATATTATTAATTATATAAAAAGATGTTTATCTTCAAAAATACTAGAAGTGCATTCAAGAATAAGTATACAATCAAACATGCAAAATAACAACAAAAAAACAATATTTAAAATTTTTCATTTATTTAAGTTTTAATGTTATTGATTGTTTGCTTGTTTGTTTATTTGTTTCTACTTCCAAAAATAAATTGTAATTTTTACAAATACTTTTTAATTATTTTAAAAGGAAAAGATGAAAAAGAACTTGAAGGAATGAAATAATTTTTAACGTGTGTGCCACAGCTAAAAATTAGATAGATTGTTCTTAAAATTATTAATTAAATTAGAAAATTTGTTAAAGATGATTTAACATTTATATAAACTTAAAATATAGTTATAACTTTATGTCAAAATGAACAAAATCGGTTGCTTATTAAAACTTTCATCAAAAATATAAAAGGAATCAATGAAGGGAAATATATTATGTAAAAAGCAAGCATTTTATGTAAATGTAAAAACTACAATTTTAAAAAATATTGTTAATTAGTTCTTTTTTATATTTAATTATATATTCTATCTATCAATCTATTCAGCTCTTTACTTCGTATTTACTTATTTACTAATAATCCAACTAAATAATTAACTAACTGACTAAGTAACTCACAACTTAGGAGTGGGTTTTTCCCAGCCGGGTGCAAGCTTGGTAATTTCAGTAATGTATTTCTTCATGGCATCTTCTTTGCTCATTTTGCCAAGGGCTTTCCAGGCATCGTATTTAGCTCTTTCAACAACTTTTAGACGAGAAGGTTGAGGACCTTTGCAAGGACCATCCTTAATCTATCTGAAGATGGCGTAGAAAGTAAGTCTTTGGGTGTTGTCCATATCAATGGGAGGGTAATCAGCAGGAGGATTCTTGATGAATTCTAAAGCCTTGTTGTATCTTTCTTCTAAGCTAGTCATTTGTTTGTTTTTTTATTAGTTTTTAACTACTTTTGTTTCTTTTTGAAATTTAATTGTTTGTAATTTTACAAATTAATTAATAATATTTATTAATTGATATCTTTTTTTACCTCTTTTTTTGAATGGTATTGCCAAATTAAGGATTAATAGTGCGTATCTAAACTTTTTTGAGGCGTTATCTTGATTGTTTAATCTTTTAGAAATCATGAATGATCGGCTATGTTATGATACACTATTTACAACTCCTACAGCAAAAACTTTCTCATCAAATTTCTAGAAATAGGCTGATCAATCATACATATTTTTGATCTACCTTCCAACCTTGCAATTAAGATTTACTCTAAATTAAATTATTAATTTATTAATTATTTCATTTATTCATCTTTTCAATTTATTTTTCGATATTATTTTTAAATAAATCTAATTTTGTAATATTTCAAAGAAATTTTTTTTCATTTTAATTAAATTATCATCAGGTATTTATTTATTTGTTTTATGAGGTATTCTAAAAATATATTTTAATTAAAATACCATTTTACTAAGAGCTTAAAAGCTATAAAATCTATAAAATTATAAAAAAAGGCTATTTATTTTATATTATTTTATTAATTTAATTAATAAGTATAATTTTTATTGATAAAATTGTTTTAATTTAGTTTTATTGGATTGCTTTAAATATTTTTGCACTGTTTATATCTTTGTTAATAATTTATCTATAAGATAAAATCATAAGTATTTTATGGTGATTACCAAAAGAAATATAACTTTTTATTTTATTTTAAAAGTTAAATAATAAATATGAATTTAAATATTGTTTTATACAAATATATTTTATACTTAATAAATATTTTTAATAAAATAAAAAAAATTTATAAATTATTTGCTATTAAACTAATATATTTTAAAATTATTTATTCATTTTTTTTTTGATTGATAAGCAATTTTATTGTCCTTAGCTTTCGATACTGCTTTACCTTATTATTTATCTCTAGGACTTGTTAAAATTTGCATTATTAAAAAAGGTTAAATTATTTTTGTCGGAATCGATGCTTGTTTATTGTCTAAAATAGAATTTTCATTCTACTTTTATTTATTATATATAATACTCATTTATCACTTTTCTTCTAATATTTAGAATTTGAATGCCTTGATATTTATTTTACTTACTTTTTTTTCAAAAAATTGATGAAATATCAGTTTTATTGATTTAGTAAATTAATTATTTTAATATTTTTTAAAAATACTTCTATTTTTTGTGTGTCTATTAATGGTAGTTTGTTTGAAATTTGTATTAAGATTTTGAATCATAAATAAGTTAAAATAAATCAATATATTTATTTATAATTAATTAATTATTTTTATTCAAGTCTAAGAAGCTAGTTTTAGTGTCTAGAATTAGAATATGACTACTAATAAAAAATCAAGTAGAAAGCAGACCCTTGATTGTGATTGGTCACAATTTTAAGAACATTTAAAAGCAAATATTCCTTGGATAGTTTATGATTTAAAGGTTGAAAATAATAAATATTTAGTTTCTAAAAGTAGTATGAATAGATATGTTTCAAGAGATGATATTTAAAAGTGGTAAAATGAAAAATTATTATACATTATTAAAGAAAATGATGATAAATGGTATTCTATATTATTGAGACATTAATTTCCCGAAAAAGAGGAAGTTGAAGAATCAGCTGAGTATGTTCCATTAAAATACTAAAAGCATGGAGGGATAAAGAATGATGAAAAACCTAATATTACTAAGGATAATCCTCAAGCGTTAAAAGAAATTATGAAGAGGGAAAGCAATCAAGCTAAAGATAAAAATAAGAATGATTAAAAATTAAATAAAGATAATCAATAAAGCGAGTTTAAAATAGTTAACTAGTTTGTATTTGAAGGAAATGATGAGCTTAAAAGAAAATTTAAAACTTAATATGATATTTTTGAAAAAGAAAACAAATGAATGATTGTCATTAATTAAAAAGAGTAATTGAATTGATATTAAATAAATAAATAAATAATTTATTGTTAACATAATAATTTTATTATGTGTTTTTAAGTAGAAAAAGTGCTATAAAATCTAAGTAATAAATTTAATGATTAAATAAATAAATAAATAAATGAATGAATTAGTTACTTACTATATTTTATTTATATTTCAAATAAATTTATTTAATATTATTTTATTAATTCCACAAAAACAAACTTAAAAAATAAGCAAATAAATAATTAATTTATTTGTTAATTATTTCTTTTAAAAAAATAAAAGTATGCTTTTTATAAATCTTTGTTATTTATTACCACAAAAATTATTTTTATAAAACAGTAAAAAAATTGAATTTTTTATTTTTTAATAAATGTATTTCTATTTAATTATTTAATTAATGTAATTAAGTAAGTTTGTAAGTAACTACAACTTAATAAGTAAGTCAATGAATTATTTAAACATAATTTGATTTTATTAATTTTGATAAATATATTTATTAATATAAATGCACTTATTTAATAATTTTAAAATATGGCAGTTCATCATTTAATTACACTTGTAAAATTATTGTAAAATATTTATTGGTATTCCTTCAAAATTTTAAGCCATACTAAAATAAATACTTAAAATAACTTAAAAAATATTTTAAATTATCCATTAATCCAATTACCAAGTGAAAAGGCAATACTGCAGTAGATTTTTAAATCAGGCCATTCAATATCCTAAATTTTTTGATTGAGGTTGTTCACTTTATTTATTTTATTAGAGCTGTAAAACAACCAAATAAAAGGTATGCTTAAATAAATACACATATAAGTAAATAAATGCATACATAATTATAATAATTAATTGTAAATGATTAAAATATTAACTTCAATTTATTTTTAAAATAAATTTTTTGTATTTAAAGAATGTTTGTTTTCATATTCTTAAAATAAAGAAAATTATTTAAGCTATTGATTTTTAATTATTATAGTTTATTATATCATAACTAACTTGCTAAGATAAGATATTAACGAACTTAATAACTAACAAACTAATTAATTAATTAATAAAATATTTTATTTATTCGTTTAAATTATTGAAATAGTTTGATTTTTAAATAGTTTTCAGCTAAAAGTAAAGTTGAGTTTGGCTTTGTATTTTGTTATTCTTATAATATCGATTAACTTGCCTTTGTCAATTTTGTATAGTTGCTAGTTGCTTTATGATTATGAGAATTTAGTTTGAAAAATTTTATCAATAGAGCTATAAATGCTCAAAAAAAGCTATGTAGTATCAGCTGATTTTATTCTTTAAGAAGTAGCATCTTAAAGGAATTCCAGTTCTATTCTTAGCTGCTTTAGCATTAAAACATTTGTATTTTTTTACTTATTTTCTAATATGTCTTTTATTCCCATCAAAATTTCTTGCAAAAGTAGTGTTGGGAGAGCTTTGACTAATGTTTAACTACAATTAAGAGATATTAATTAAATGAACTAATCAAACTCACTTAAAATATCTAGCATTTTATACCTTATTTCATATTTATCTAATGATATGTTTTGGCTCATCTGAATATCTTGTTGTGACTAGGCTATATTTGGAGGTGCCAACTGTTGCAATATAGAGATATTATACACAGTGTTAGCATCAAATTTGAAATCGTTGGCTGTTGTTCCAGTAGGCGATAATGATGACATCCTAATTTGATTCTCTCCACTTTAACTTTCAGCATTATTCCATGATGTGAAGAGGTCTGAAGAGTCTCTAAGAATTTCTTAGGCTTTAAGATAAGTTAATTTTTTCTTTAAATCCTCAACCATCTAATCCATTAAACTATTTATTTCCTTAACTTGTTTACTTATGTTTTTTTCTATATTTTAAGCAGATTCAGATGCTGATTGGTTGGGCTTGATTTACTTTTTTAAGATTTAATCATATATTTAAGTTAGGAGCAATTTACATTAATACTTTTAAAAACTGATAATGTTTGAGAGCAAGATAAGAAAGACTAAATCACTTGAAAATGCCAAATATGAGTAATTTCCTGTTGCTTTACTGAATTCGCTTTCTTCTTCTTATAAGCGCTTATGTTCTTTCATTACATGGTAAAACACAGCTCTAAAACATATTGAAATTGCTTGTTTTAAATAGTTTTTATCCAAACTTTGGAGATCAACTTAAGGCTAAAAAATCTTCAATTAAGTAAGAAAGTCTACTCCTTCGAGCAAACACTCGTACAAATAAGTGCTGAATGGACTGATAAACTCGTCATCATTTGTAAAAGTTTTAGAAATTGTTAGATTGCCATAGAAATCATATCTCTCCATCTTAATCACTTTGAGTTCATAGAGTTGCACCATGTAAGCCATCTAAAGAGTCTTTTCTTATAGCTATTAAATAAATTCTTTTCCCATTCTAACTTTCTAATCTAATTATTTGAGCAAATGAACTATATTGCTGCAACTAATAACATCTTCCTTGCCACGCTAAATTTAACTGACCAGAAGATTAAGCTCATCTTCATTGTAGTCCGAAATAGGTCTTTGCTCATTTACTTTTTGTCTGAAATTATAATTTAATTCTAAAAACTGAATGCATCTTTAAGCCGCTTTTTTCAATGATTCAAAAATAATTTAAAAGTGTTTAAGAGCTTTTCTAGTAGTTGCTTTGCCTTACCTAATAGGCAGCTTATAATCATATTCGCCATCTTAATAAGATTAAAGAAGGAGATAAAAATTTTCGAATCTGGACATGTTTTCAGTGAAATAATTCTCAATATCTTTAATTTTTAACTACCTTGTGGATGCTGAAATACTGCTTTAATACATAAAACTTACTAATCTATCGCTATCAAATAAAACGTTGTTTATTAGTTTTAATTTTTTCATTCTATTTTCCTAGTCGTTAGTATTGGCTACTCCTGTTTCCTCAACTATGTAAGTGCTTGATTGTATTTTTGGTTTTTCTTCTTTATTTTCTTCTTAGGAACTCATGTCCGTATTTATTTTTATATTCTCAGATAATCTCTTTTCTAAATATTTTATCATTTTAATTAAATTGTGATTCTCTTCAGGCTCTACCATGACAGACCCTCTTTTATCAGCATCATTATTCATCACATTTGAAGGTTTTCCCATAATAATATTAGATTTTTGCTGCATTAAATTTGAGTCACCTTAATAGTCGTACTGTAAATCGAGTAAAATATTTGTAAACTCAGTCGTTTTTCTTCGATTGTCAAGATTTTTTTCAACTTGACTGATGACAAGATCCTAACTCATCTGAAGAATTCTATCTATTTCAAGAAATACCTGCTAAAATATCTTCATACCTTTATATCTCTTCAAGTAAGGAAAAGCCTACTGGAAAAGCTTAGAAATCTTTTCAAAATCATTTTTATTGTAATGCTTTTTTAGCTAACTGGGCATGCTAATTAACAGCTCATTCTTGTTTAAGAAAGACAGTGTCAATCTCAAGCTGCTACTGTCAGATTTCATTTTTATCATTTCTTGATTGACAACATCAACACTTTTTTCTAAATTTGTCTGAGAAACTTTCAGCTAATTGAAGTAGCTACCATGGCTTTAAGCTTCAACTTGAATGAAATTCTGGTGAGTCCTTATCACTCCTCTGTGAACTTCCAAGAATTGATCCAAGTAATAATAAACTAAACTCTATATTTATATATTAATGGATAAATCATATTAAACTTTTATAATAAATTAGATTTACTTTATTTAAAGTGAGTCCCTTGTTCTGCTCTTTTTATAATAATCTAGCTGCTTTTTCTAACTGATCATTAGGAGTCTTAGTATGAAACAATGATAAAAATGCAATAGGATCAAAATCGGGAGACTCAATATGAATCTTCAAGATAACCTCATCCAAAGTAGGAACTTTACCACTGTCTACATTTAGAGATATGATCTTTATAATGTCTTCTGGCTTAGTAATTCTCTTACTAAAAACCTACTTAAGCTAATTCTTTATCATTGAAGTTTATCTCTTAGAGTTTTTAGAAGATTAGCTTTTTTTTATATCATCTTCATCCTCCAGAGCAGAAATAAGAGGATCTTAAAACGTCATTTTGAAATATTCTGCATTTAACTAAAAGTTTTTTAAGTGAATTTCTTAAAAGTATTTTTGTTTTTTCATTCTTTTTTCATCCCTCTTTCTTGCATTTGAAGATCTAAAATCATCGCTAATTTTTGGTGCTTCCTCTATTCAAATATAAAAATAGGATCAATAAATACAATTCAAATTTTCTATGATGCATTTTATAATTAACTAATTTACTTTTTAATTGCTCAGCATCCTCCCCTTCTTGATCCTTCCACTCTACCTAGTTTATTTATCGCTGAGCCTGGCTTGATTTATATTGCTTCATCCATTCTTCAAATTTATCCTAAGCTACTCTATCTTAAATGTAAGACTTTAGATTTAAATGAGGTCTTTTCTCTCTAATCAACCTAGCTACATTATATCCCGCATCATCATTTTTCTTATCACTCATAATATGAGAAGCCAACCTCATAGTAAGAAATTCATCTTCATCAAAATCGTAAAATATTTATAAAATATCCTTCTTCTAAGAGTGCTCAGTAAACAATCTATACAGTAATTTTATGCAGTAGTAGCTTGAGTTCTTCAAGCTACCCTTGAATTTAGATCTAATACCACATATCTATAATAAACCAAACAAATCTTTTTCTCCTCCAATCAGAAGTAGTCTTATTGCGCTTCCATCTAATTTCTCTCTTTTCTTGAACAAAACTTCTTCTAACTTTTTAAGAAAGACTGTGATTTTTACTCTAAGTTTTTTTTAACTTTTATGAATCTAAAGTAAAATCTCTTTAATATTCTCCATTTCTTACTTCTAAATAAACAATAAAAATACAAATAATTAATTAAGATTTTTATTGATCTAAATCAAAATCAGTAACAAAGTAAATCATAAAATAAATATCTGATAAATTTCAATTTGATTCATTTAAAAAATAAATTGTATGTATTTCTACTTTATAAATTAATTTTTATGTAGCAAATAAATAAAAGAAAAAACAAACAAACAAACTAAACAAAATCTCTAAATAAATTTTAGATTGTTAAATTTAAATAGAAATAGAATTATTTTATCAAAAAAAAATATTAACAAATAAAATAATTTATTCATTCATATTTGCTCTTAATTAATTTGATCTTTTAAATAGCTTTTGTATATCTTTAAAAGGAAATATTGTTGAGCATAATATTTAGCTTGAGCTAAGTTTTTTTTTCATAAATTTCTTTAAAAACAACAAAATTAGAATAAAATATTGAAATTATCATAAATTATTCTTTAATTAATTATTTTGATAAATAAATTTTGTAAAAAATTAATAAAAAAATAATAATTAATTAATTTAATAGTCATTTATTTTTAACTAAATAAACTAAAGAAATTAGTTAAAAATTTTTTATTATTTTTAAGAAACTTAAATAAACATTATAATTTATTTTTAATATAGTAATACTTCACTCAATATTTGACTGGCTAATTGAATATAATTATATTGAAAAATTTAAAAACATTTTATTTCTAATTTTAATATTAATGAGTATCTAAATTTAGTTTCAAAAAAAGAAATTTTTTAAACTGTGAATTATAGAAATAAATAAGCTAAATTTATTTGTAATTAAATGGGGTTGGGGTTGGGGTTGGGGTTGGGGTTGGGGTTGGGGTTGGGGTTGGGGTTGGGGTTGGGGTTGGGGTTGGGGTTGGGGTTGGGGTTGGGGTTGGGGTTGGGGTTGGGGTTGGGGTTGGGGTTGGGGTTGGGGTTGGGGTTGGGGTTGGGGTTGGGGTTGGGGTTGGGGTTGGGGTTGGGGTTGGGGTTGGGGTTGGGGTTGGGGTTGGGGTTGGGGTTGGGGTTGGGGTTGGGGTTGGGGTTGGGGTTGGGGTTGGGGTTGGGGTT